ATCACTTCCAGTATCCACCTGCATGAGTAAAGTTACTCTGTTCAACTTCACCATTTCCCTACTTTTATCCTGTGCTTTTATCTCAAATACTTCTGTATTTTCAATCAGAGGATCTATATTTTCCACTTACTTTTCATATGTGCTTACCATCTGGAAATGATTCCTATTTTTACACTTAAACACCATTTTGGAAAGACCAGACACTTATTTTTACATTTTTCATGTTCCTTATTGCAATATCTGCATACAAGCTTTTCGAAGCACTATAAGTCTCCATACTGCCCTCAGAGGCATTAAATTTTTGAATCAATTCCAATTGTTGTAAGGACTGCACACATGCTTCCAGATTCATATTATAAGATTGAAGCTGCTCTAGAATTTTATGTTTGTATGAGATATCAAACATTCCTTCAATCAGTCTTAGCAAAATTTGCTCATCTTTGATAGACATTTGTTCCAAACCCATTCTTTCAAACTCACAATATCTTGATGCTTCTTTCAAATGCCGTACATATTGCATAATAATTTTGCTCTGTCTACTTTTGAGAAATTTAGTTCTTTCTGTTATGACCAATCTTTTTGTTGGTTGTATATTTGTTTTTATAATGGCAGCGATTTCTTCATAGGCTAAATCTTCTAACACTTTGGGATAGACCATGACGGAGATTTTTTTGTGGCCTCACATCCTGCCAAGGCCAAAAACAAATCTATAACTTCATTTTCCCCTCCACTAGCTTTGGTTTCTTTAACTTTTACACTCTTGCCGATGCTGTGAAACACCTAAGCTAGATTTAAATATATTCAGGATCCTTCATCGCGGTTAAGTAACCAATCAGTGATGACATATTGTTATGATAGATATTCTCTCTGACAGATGTAGTCTCATCAAGAGAAGATAACTCTCCTGTAGGTATAGTGATATAGTGTATTTTTTCACACTTCTCACCTGTGGGTTTCTCTTCTGGTTTCTTGTTTCCATGCCTCCTACAACTTTCAAAAATTTACATGCAACATCAACTGCCATCTTCTGTCTTCCTGGATCCTGTTCTTTTATTGTCCTCTCTTGTTACTAAAGTCATCACATTCGCTTTCACTCCTAGTAACTACTTGTGTCTTAGTGGCATTAATGTCTTTCATAGGGTGAAATGATTTAAAAAAAAATATTGTTAAGTTCATGTCTGCTGATAATCTGGTAAGTCATCTCATAGTGTATGAATGTTGAAACAATTATGCAAACTGTAGGTAGGTTGGTAAGAACATGAGCTTGCCTTGTGGATGAAATATTTGTTTACTTCCTACTAAAACCAGGAATAAGCACTCAGGATAGGTTTGAAAATACTGATTTTCCAGAAAGGCCATCCATACTTGGAAGATTGGTATAATATAATTTTCTTTGCCTTGTTGGTCTTTGGCTGTCTTCAGGTAAGCAGCATAAATCTTGAAAACACAGGTGACAAAATGTTTAAACATAGGTTTAAAAAAAAAAAACAGAATATTTATTGATTTCAATCTCTCTGGGAATGACTGCAAAATACTTGCCCCTCTCCATTTTATAAGCAGAAGCACACAAATGCATGCTGGGACTTTTTCCTAGCCAATACAATTTTATATTTCTTATTAGACTTATGTATGTGAACTTAAACAAAAATTAGTTCTCAGTTTCATCTGACTCAGTCCCGGTCTGTCTTGTTTTGAAATCAAAACACTATGTTTGCTTGTCCAAATTTGTTTTTGTGTGTCAACCCCAATTCTTAGTATGTAAACTTTTTGCCATATTATTGTTGCTTTGCCTTATTATTGTTAATTTGTCTTGTATATATTGTTTGCTTGCTTTATATTATATTTTTCTTTGTTCTTTTCTTTTCTTTTTCTTGTTATTGCTTATTGCAAACTTTGTCAATTCTGTTTGTTGGACATTTCCATTACTTATTTTGCATTTGGCCATGGCTACTCACTCTACAGGTTATCAGGAACAGATTCTGTTTCAACAGTGACAAATCAAAATATGAACTATGGGAGATAAAGATTTTAGGATAAATGCAAATCCAAAAATTACAGAAAACAATCTTGGTATCATTTGATTGTTCCAATGATGAAGAGGACTGTGAAAAGAATGCAAATGAGTTTTTTGAGTGAATCCAATTTCTTGATGATCAAAGTCAGTCTCTTATTCACAATATTCTGTCACAATATTTCAACCTGTCACCAGTTGTTAATGAATATAATTTAATTCTGCCTGCCTTGTGGCTGAGATAGCTGAATATTGTTCATTGGAGCCAGAGGTTGGATTTGGAATGTTTATGATAAAGGCAGGCAACACCTCTACATAGCATCAACATAAATTCTTTTCACTCTCATTTGGCTTTTTACCATACCTAGTTGATAAATATCTGTATTACAAAGAAAATCTATTTATGACAGTTCTTTTAATGTTGATTAGAACTTGGCCAGTGTGCAATCTCATTAAATATTTATTTAGTTATTAATTTATATCAGCCATTTTCTCAATGCCCTGATGTTGGCAGGGTTTTGAATTTAGAATTATTCTTCTCCTAGACTGGGAAATTCTATCAAGGTTAAAGAGTCCAGTTTGCTCTATTATTTTACCCAGAGCTAGAAAAAAAAGAGATAGGTTCATACCTTTCTCAAAAAGAATTTTACTCAGAGCTTGAAAGAGGAAAGAACAGACTGGTCCGTCCCTTTCCTAAGAGCATTAATGCAAAGTAAACGCAACAACAATAGCTGGAATTTGAACTCAGCCAGTTGATTCCATTTTCTGTAGTGATAACCATTTTATTACCAACACTCTCTCTCTCTCTCTCTCTCTATATATATATATATATATATATATATATATAATTAGACATTGAGATCAACACCAAACAGCCACAATCAGTTTCATGCTTAAAAGCAATTGTCACTCTATGTGTTGTGTTTTAGCTTGACTATTTATATATGCTAGCTAGTGATGCATTATAGGTAGGTCTAGTGTTCTAACAGTTATTGAGTGGGCAGTAATAGCTATGTTTCAAATTATTCTAGGGGCTATTAAGTGGAAATAATTGTGTATCTGAATGCAGTTTTGTATTTATTAATGTTTGTTAACTTTATTGTTGATTGCTTTGTTGCTGCTTTTTATTAATATGTTTTCTTGTGTTTATGTGTGCATTTGCAGTTTGTTAATTTGTCTATTATTTACTTAATTTATTTACTTATTCATTGTTTTGGATTAATTTATTATACTTATTTATTTATTCTTCATTTATTTATTTTTATTTTTTTTTTTTTTTAGATTTTTAAGATTTGTTTTCATGTTTGCATTGTCTTGGTCTTGGAAAGACCCCTTTTCTCATCCAGACAGAGTTTACAGTTTTTAGATTTATTGTTGTAGGTTGATGCTGTTTTCCTTATTTTCTATATTTTTGGTGTGATTTGAATTTTTTTTAATTTCCCATACATGTTTAGAAAGCATTGTGCTGTTCACGTATTTACTATTTGTAAAGAATGTTTTATGTGCATAGTTACTTTATTTCCAGGTTCCTTCAGTTACTCTTATGTATTTTTTGTTATCTTCTGATTTTTCAGTGGCTTGGTATATTGCATTGTTCTGTAAGCAATTGCTGTTTAAGGGACATTCATTCTTTGTTCTGCAGTTAAATATGGGTTTGATTTTTGTGGATGTTTTTTTTGTTGTGTTTTTATTTATTATTTGTCATGTTCTCCGTAGTTGATTTGTACTGTGTTTTTTATTGAATATCTTGTGGAGAGTGTTTGATAGAGGGAAATGTTTCTGAATTTAATAAATATTTTTCCTATATTTAATTTTACATTTTGGTTGTACAATCGGTTGAACCATATGATGTTTCTTTTCCTGTTGGCATTTTTGTGCTGTGTGTATGTGAGTGTTGCTGAAAAATCACTATCTTTTAAGGCTGTTTCATAATCTTTCTTGTCTTTCATTGGAAGAATTATCTGATAATCTGCAGCTAATTCATTGTGCTTGATTATTGATGGTAGATGGTTGGAAGATGTGTGTATATAGAATAGTTTGTCATTAGATTTTCTATATGGATATCCACCAGTCTCCTCCATCTGTCATGGTCATGTATGGTAACCTGAGCTGCAACTGATCTGGTATAAAGTTGTTTCTTGCTGTGCTCATCATGTGGTACGTCTGGGTCATTTTTACCTCTCCCAGACATTATATATATATTTTTGACCATGAGGCCCTGGTTCTAATCTCACCATGGTCGATTTGTTAGGAAGGAGACTTCTTGATGTTATCAGTCTGGAGTGTGGACAATCCCAGCATGTGGCACTTTTGGAAAGTGCCTGAAAACCATACCACGGGTTGACCCAAGCCTTGTGAGTGAAACTGGGTAGACAGAAACCTTGGAGGCCGTCAATAGCTGTGCAAGCATCAAGTTACAAGTCATCATGACTGAGGGTTTGAGTGTACTGGCCTTGTTCAGATTGCTGATCATGCTAGATAACACACTCTCTCCCACAAACTGTAACTAAAATCTGCATAGTTGCAGTATAAACCACACACACACACACACATATATATTGTGTGTATAAGAGAGGTTGTCTTGGGACTAAAATAGTTATATATTTCTTATTAGAGTTACGTGTGTAAACTTAAACAAAAATTAGGATTTCAAATACTGATTTTTAAGCCCATTTACATTTGAAAGAATGGTGCAAGACAATCTCCTGTTTTCTCCATTTGATCTTCTGCTAGATTAAGCTAAGTGTAGTGAGATGCAAATTAGTATAATTTGCATATGAGCAGGTAGCTCATATGATAAATGGACGCCAACTAGAACAGAGGTAGAATGCTTACTTGGCAGTATACACGACATAACACTAAGCTTATTAAATATATCAAGAAAGTGCATGCTGATATACAAATGATTATTTTTTAATCACAAACACAATCTTTTGAAAACCAAAATAAAAAAAATCCAGTGAAGTTTATATTTTTTAAGTCAACTCACACACTGATCTTCTTCATCAATCCGAAATCTTCCTTTCAGTAATGGCTGAATTTCCATCACATCAAAGTAAATACCTGAAAGGGAACAAAAATAACTTTCTGAAATATACTTATGCATCCAGGGTGCTATAGAGAGGGTTGAGGTAATGACTTCAGCCCCTTATCTTTTGGCTGGAAATAAAGATTAAACAGAAGACTATTAACTTTAACCTCTTGGCTTCAATCTATGACAATGCTATCAAGCTAAGCTGTATTGTTTCTTTAAAATCAATACTGGTATTAATTTTCAAAATAAATAATAAAACTTCATCTTTCATTTTTTTAAGGACTAATATTCAAAAATCCTATATAAGTCTTATACATGGAGAGAACCTATAGGTCTCATTCCAGAAAATATGTACAAACAGCAAAAAAAATTCTAATTAAAATCCCCCCACTCCCTAAAAAATGTTTACAGTATGTTAATAGGGTTAAAAATATTCCCTTTGTGAGAGGATCAGATTAAAAATATACCCTTTATGAGATGATCAGATAAAGAATCAGGAATCTCCCCCACTTTTGACATCTGAGTCAGTTTCCCATTTTTAACATCTTGTCATGTCCATAAAAATAAATAAATAAAAATGAATTATAGTGTCAAAAAAATAATTATAAATAATTATCACAATTATAAATAATTATCCTTAATTCACACAATCCAGACCAATGAGAATCGACCCCACTTTTCTCCTCTTCACGCACAAACATGTGACATTTTATCAGGCAAGCAGTTCACACAGACAGATTGTTAACACATGCATCAACAAAAATTTAATCTCCTTTTTCTTTTTCAGGCCATAATAGTAACATTTATTTTTTAGCACTCAACAAAAATTTGAGGTAAGAAAACCTTAGAAACTTCTTGTATTTTCCAACTAAATCATCTGGACACTCATTGCACACATCTATAAAAAAAAAAAACATACAAGAAAGATTGTATACACTTTTCTTATTCTTTATTTTATCATTCTCGCGGATTTGACCCCAAACTCACAATTTTGCTCAGTATCACTGTCTCTTGTATCTACAACACCCCATAACAACCAGATAATAAATAATATTTATTTTATTATTTCCACATCTTGCTATTTCTCATTTTCTACAAATATTTTTGTATCTGTCTATATTTCTGAGATGAGATATTATGTGCACTATTTAGATTATTTCGACTATTGTCCTCATCTTTGTCGCAATATTTATTACAATGTTTCAGCTGTTGTATGCTCCAGCCTTTTTCAGGTGGTTGGAATGTCAAACTGGACCCTTTATTTTGCTCACTGGGGTAAGGCTGTGGCCCAGTACTCTACAGGATTAGTAACAATAGGATGACTTAGGCATATAGTATAATTGATAAACAAGTAATATAAAATTTGTAGTGATATACTATAAGTTACAAGTGTGTGTTTTATTGGCTGTAATGTACCAGTGTGCTTTGAGTGGCTTAAACAGATTTAATCAGAAATTATTATAATAAAAACCAAAAATCTAAACCACAATCCATGATTAAAAAGTTAGTTAAAAGAGATTAATTTTTAATCATTTGATTTAATTTTTTAAATATTTTTGATTTTTGTGATTACATTAAAGAGCAAAAAATATTTTGAAACCATAAAATTTACTTACCATATATACTCAAGTATAGGGTGAGTTTTTATGACACATTTTTTAATGCAAAAAATAGGGAGAGGGCGTCATGCCATACACAGGTAAGTTTTTTTTTGAAGAGGTTAAAAATCAGGCATGAATGAAAACAAAATGCAGTATCTAAATGTCTGATATTTTATGGTAACTGTTTTTTTCTCATCATTTTGGAGTAGCATTGTATAAAGAAGAATGAAGACTATTTATTTGCTATAAAATACGTCCAGGATGATGGTTAGTATTGCAATATTTGACTATAATAGGTCTACTAGTATTGCTCAGAAACTGGGTCTGTTTCTATTCTGTATGGAAAATCTAAATTTAAATTTCATTCATTAAAAAATATACTAGTGGTTTTCATTTTGCATGAAACTGATTCTAAATATTATAAGAAATTTTAAATTGAATTATTGTCATTATCTCATAAGTTACTCAGTGTAATATCCTTGTCTTTGCTGGTTTTATCACATTTCAACTTATGCATTGTGCGCTTATCCCACCTTATCTACCAGGAGACTTTTCTATGGCAAAAATGCATCAGTACAAATGCAAACTAGGCCTTGGATTGGATGTGAACATGTTTGTCAACACCAGTTACATCCTGATTTTTCCTGTTAGCAGCAGGACAGTTTGGAATGTCTAGCTAGATACAAGCCTCTCTGGAATTGGTCAAGATCTGGTTCTTTGTAAGATGCCTCATGCCTATAAAAGCAGGGGGAAAACAGCAGTAGGCACTTGGCAAGATATGATTTCTTGTGAAGTTAGTCCTATGGCCATTTTGTTCCTGTGGTTTCTGAGGCTGTTATTTTTTGTTACCTCTCGTCTCTTTCCCCTCTCACCCCTGTAGTTGTTGGGAGAGTAATCAGTTAGGTGTTTCCTACTAATCTCAACAGACCCTTTTCTTACATTACAACATTTTCTTAATGCCCACTAGGTGATGATGTATAAAGCTGTTGTTGTGGTCTTTTTAGAGGCCAGAAAGAAAGACACAGAAGACAAAGGTAGGTTGAATAAGTGTATTGAAATAACAGATATATACAAAGCAAGAGTGTTAGAAGTGTCCATCCGAATGGTCAGGTTACACTGCATCTCGGCTGCTCACGACTCTACCCTAGGAAGTCTCACAGTTAGTATTTATGAGAGGAGGAAGAGTTCATTCTACTGTAGGAGGGTTTACCACAACAGCTGTATAAAAGGAAAGACTATAAATTCACTTTCCTCTGTTTTGTCCTCTTCAACCTTAGAATGCAGAAGTGACAAGACATTTTCCCTACAGTGGAGATTTCTTTCTCTGATCAAACCAACTTAGTTTCAACCAAACTCTGTCACACACACACACACAACACAACCTTTTGTAAGCTATGTTGTTCAGTAGTATAAATTAATAAAAATCCTCTGTATTAAATTTATTTTGAAAGTATTCCCCCAATTCTTGTTAAAATTAGTTCCTCCTTACCATTATACATTCTTTGGTCTTCTTCAAGTAACAAAAAGCTACATAAGCAAATCTAGTGTAGAATTCAACACTATGAAGAGATTTGTATTCAGTAGAGTAAAACAACATATCATTGTGTCTGGTGAATGTAGTGAAAGAATTGACATATATATTCAATGCATGCGGCCAAGCAATTCTTTTTAAGACTGACTGACTATCAAATTGCTCCTCTTTGTAAGATCAAGACCCTGAACTTTTTAGATAAATGATGTAATGAATATGCATACACCTGGGTTCCTCCTCACAGTAATATGATTGGCTGGTGTCAGCCATAAATACAGACTGATGTGGAGGTACAAAGACGACACCTATTGCCTACGCCTATTGCCTACCACTACGACAAGGACCAGTCCATTAAGGTTACATGCTAGATTGTCCTACCCAGTTACAGTAGCCCAAAACCACTTTGCTACTTCGAACAGATATATCCCTTTCTGGAACATATCAATAAAAAAAGTGAAAAACCCAATTGATTGCAAATATATATTTCAGGTGTGTTGAAGAATTCATCAACCAAAATATTAAGTTAGAAAATGTCATGGATGAGGATACTAGTCTGAATAAATTTTGAAATAATATGTTTTTGAATAATTTGTTTTATATATGAAATAAATATACTGGGATTCTACAATGTTTTGTGAAGAGTAAAAAGTAGAGATTAAAGAAAATCATACAAGATCCTCACCAATTTTGCCATTATTACCAGGGGGTGTGGTCATCAGATGATTAGTAAATTTATCCCATGATCCCTCTGCACATTCATCACGGATATTTTCTCGAGTAAGAGAGCCATTTTTGAAGCTGTTATATAAAAAAATTGCAATTTAATTTTAAAAAGATTAAGAAAATAGACAAAAACCAGTATGAAAAATGTATTAACAAGCAGTAAGATTTTATACATTTTATTTAATTCATACATTTAATAATGTAGTTTATTTTTGTACTTGATATACAAGGGTGAGTAAAAAAGTAATGCAATTTGTTTTATTATATAAGGAATAAGGAACACAATCCTACATATCACACATCAAAATATAGGTGTACATCACAGGTTCACATCCCTACTTCTCAACATAGTCACCACTTCTTTCAATGGCAGTGTTCCACCTACAAATGAGAGCATGTATCCCAGCTCTGTAAAACTCAGATGGATGCTGATGTAGCCAATTCCTTACAGCAGTTTTCACTTCTTCATCGCCACCTGACTTAGAACCCTCAGACTTCTATTGCTTTGATCCAGTGAAAGAGGCACTGAGCAGTAAATGTTATTACCATTTTGTTGACTATAACCCTTTATCATGATTGCCTTTTGAGCCTTGTTTTGGGTGAACATCATTAGAAAACAAAACAAAAAAACCCCCAGAAAGCATTGTTGTGTTCAGTGAGATAAGGAGGTTCTGCTTTCAAACAAAATATAGTAATTTGCATGTGCAATGTAGTAATTTGCATGCACAATATAAACTTGGGAACAGCCTGTGTACTGAAGAAAATTTATCCACCATGGTTTTACTGCTCGGCTATGAAGATCATTACAATAAAACATGGTTCTATTTTGCCTTTAATGTACACTGACTTGTTCAGATTTCCCAAAACACATATCTGCACAATTTCGTATCTGAAATGTAAACAAAGTTATTTCTAAAGAATTAATGGATTTTATTTTTTAATCCAACATATTTCTCTTACTTCAAATGGTATTTTTAGTAGATACCTGTATTTGAGTAGATGCTTCATTTTCTTTTTATTTTGAACAGTATTTATTTCATCTCATGGACTGTGTACTCAAGAACCTTGCTTTATTGTGACACTCTCTGTAGCCAAATGGTAAAAGCATGCCAGATCAAATGGTGGTACTTCCTGCAAATGAGGATGCAGGTTCAAACATGCCAGAGGGCACATTTTCTTTAGTAAGTTTTCTCAAGTATGTTGGCCAGTAGATTAAATACTGTTTAAAATAAATGGAGCATCTACTCAAATATGGGTGTCCACTAAAAATAATGTTTGAAGTGATAAAAACATGTTGGGTAAAATAATAAAATCCATTAATTTTTTATATATATATATATATATATATATATATATATATATATATATATATATATATATATCCTAACTTCTTGCCTCTTGTTCTTATCTTCCTAGAACAACCTCAGTAAGTAGCCCTCTAACTTGAGTTGCTCTTGGGTCTTGCATTGGTGAACAATAGTAAAAAAAAAACCAAAAAAAAACACTCTATAAGTGTAGAAAATTTATGGTAAAGTCACTAACCAGAGAAGGGCCATGTATGCATCACTGTTCACAGGATTGATGAAAATATGACCTTCCAGAGCAGGCTCAGGTTCAGTTAGCCATAGGAATAGTGTATCACTTGTTCCAAGACTGGCCTGGAGAAAGAGAAAGAAATAATAAAAGCAATGGAATAAGAAAGTTTCAATAAGAATTGCAAATACATACGTAGTCTGCAATGTGTTTCTCAATTGGGCCAAAAGAAGAAAAATGGTTATAATAAGACGATGACAATGTAGAAAAGAAATGAGTCAACATAGCAAGAAACTCTGGATAGAGAGCACCTGGTGGTATGTGAGAGAATTTCTTCCCTAGTTCCTTCCCTCAGACCTGAGTGTGCTGATGTGTTCTTTTGATGAATTAACTATGACAGAGCAGCACAAGGGACAAATTTGGATAGTAGTTACTGTGCCGACTATATGGGCATGTGGCCAAGTGATTAGAGCATTTGCATTCCGACCATGAGACCCGGGTTCAAATCTCATCATGGTCAATTTGTCAGGAAGGAGACTTCCTGATGTTATTGGACTGGAGGGGTTGATACCAGTGTGTGGCAACTTTGGAAAGTGTCTGAAAACCATAACACAGGTTGACCCAAGCCTTGTGAGTGATATTGGGTAGATGGAACCCTTGGGAGCTGCTGTTAGCTGTGCTAGCATGAAGTCACAAGTCATCATGGCTGAGGGCTTGAGCACACTGGTCTTGTTCAAATTGTTGATCACATTAGATAGCACATTCTTTCCCAGAAACTGTAACTAAGGTCTTCTCAGCATAGTTGCAGTATAAACCACAGGTGGGTTTTGTGGGTGCTGAATAAACACAAATGTGCGTGAGCAAGTGGCTGCAATTAGCTAGCTGCCCTAGTAGACGGGTATCCTTGAATACGAGTGGCCAGCTATACACACTGTGCCGACTAATTTGCATGTCTTGGATCCATGGGATGAGTATAAGTAGAACAGCAAATGTGAGCTGTCATTGCAGTCTTGCTGACAGAACATGTGTAGAGAGCAGGAAATTCCACAAGTGAGGTGTGATGAACCTTTGTCAGTCTGAAGAACCCTGCCAGTGTGGAAAATTGCAACAAAAACAGAAAATAGCAAGAACTCTTATAAAGTCATCTGTGTACAGGACCAGAACTGTTTACTATTGTGAAATATTAACTTGTGCTGTTTTAATTAAGTCAATGACAAGAAGACTGAATGACTGTTATAATTGTAGGGTTTTAGACAGAAGACTCTATCAAGCAAACAGACAAGTGATGGGAGTTAATGCCACAGTAGGGACAATTGAGATGGATTAAGGTGCTTGTAACATTTAGGTACAAGTCCAGTCCAGAGAAGAGCCTAGAGCTACACAACCAGACTCACACCATGTGAAAACAAAGATGTTCATAGATGGTAGCTGACCACATCACTTCACCTTAGCTCAAAAGGTAGTAATCTTGTAGAGTGTAAATCTCATCTATTGTAAGTACCATATTTATGTCATGTTACGTTGTTGTTTTACATTGAGGCATTTAATAAAAATGGTAAACATATTTTAGCACCCTTCTTTTAATGTCCCTTTAGTATCTAATATTTATTCTTATTTGGGAGATTGTGGAGGTAGGGAGCCATTCTATTGGAGTTGAATCATTGGGGATTGTGAGTATGCAGTATGGATTTGGTCTGGTTTGTTTTACAGCATGTTTGTAGTTTAAATAAGTCTGTATTACTACGACGTCACTTGTACAAATCAAGATACCGCTGGTTCAATTTGTCATTCTTGCTTTCTGAACATGTCACAACATATATCCATCTTTCCTTCTGCCCTTTTCACTGCTTCAGCCCTCTTTTATCAGGCCAACACTGCGGTCGACCAACCAATCAGTGTTCTTCGCTTTTATTCTCAGTTACCCAGGTAAATAGCATCCTCCAGTTCGACCAATCAGCACACGACTTGCTATTGGTAGAAGCATGCCAAACTGTACAAAAACTCTCGTTACCACACATACTGCTGGAACTGCTAGACGGGAGTTTAATGCCATTTTCACGGGGCAAACTTGCCGATGTCACGTGCTGCCCGTTAAGGTAAGACCCTTATTTTCTTATGCACCAGATGCAAGCCATTCTAGCTCCCTTCCTTCTACGGGGCTGTTCACCACAGGATTTGGTCTGGTTTGTTTTGTTTTACAGCATATCAACCTCTATGGGTTATTTAATGCTGACAAAATTTTTATTGCTGGTAATATTTTTTTTTCAAAAAAATCTATTGCTGGTAATATTTTTTCCTTCAAAAATCTATTTCTGGTAATATTATTTTCTTCAAAAGTTTATTGCTGGTAATATTTTTTTTCAAAAATATATTGCTGGTAATATTTTTTTTTTTAAAAGTATTGCTGTTAATAATTTTTCCTTTAAAGATTTATTGCTGGTAATAATTTTTTGCAAAGTATTTCTGGTATTAAAATCCATTTTTACACTTTCATAGTTTTTGACCCCAGTTTGGGGGTTAACTATTTGCCCATAGCCGGGACCCTAACAGGTGCTACCACCCCAGATCAGAGTGAACCTGGGAACACCAGCAATTAAGAGGTGCTTCCATACTCCTCATAACCTCCTGATCAGAAACCTTGCTGTTCGCTGTAATTTATTGTCTTACCCAGGATGCAGATGTACACTGTGTGCCAAATTATTATCGAGATAACTTTTTTTCAAATATTTCAAAAACCGTCCAATCAATTCACACAAAATTTTCACACAATGTTGGCAATACTGACTTACGCAATCACTGAAATTTTTGTACTGATCTGCACAATGTAAACAAACTGGCGCCATATTTGCCACAACTCAAATTGGGGAGTTGTTAAATTTCCCACAACAGGGCAAGCAATAACTGAGCAGTGCTAAAAATAAAATCTAAATGTGAAAATAGTTTACTCTAATACATTAAATAAGGGATTCAATTTGCAATTCATTGTAGGTTACTGATATGGTAATTTACCCATGCATGCATGGAGTCTCCCAGCTATAAATAGGAGCAGGTACTGCCTTTTGAAGAGGGACAGTTGGACCTAACATTCTTGCTGTAACACTCTTGTTTGTATTACTATTTCTGTTAATATATTTAACTCAATTCTTCTCTTTGTGTCTTTATTTCTGGCCCTAACAAGGCCACAACAGTTGCCCAGATCAACAAGCACCTGATGAATGCCACAGGGAACAACAGCAAAAATGTTGTAATAACAATAACAAAGATGAGGACAATAGTCAACATGTAAATAATCATAACTCTTCATCCCAGAAAATCGGAAAGAAAGTGTGTTTTGTTTAAAACATTTTGAAAGTTTTTGAACACATGATTAAAGAAAAAGTCTAAAGATGGAAGACAGGACAGAATTTTGATTCCTAGCTTAATTTTTGGAGAAACAATGAATTACTTTTTGTTTAACTCCTAAAAATTTATCAAGTTGAGAAGAAACTTTTTTGGATAACCTAATAAAACCATGAACAAAAATGGGCAGAAGATACAGTTTAAAGCTAAAAAGAAATCAGGCAATTAAGTTGATGTTCTTTTTTTAATATAACATAACATAATAATGGCAAATGCATTTTCTTTGTATGCAGTCATCCTGGAAATCATCCAACCATTTTGAATATCTTGAGAAGCAGCTGTGAAGCCTTGATATAACTCAGCAGCCAATTAGACATGCACATGCATGAAAAGGTATTTTCCAATGGGATTACTCAGTGAGTTTGTGTACTGTGTGATCCGTGTATTCATAATGACATCACATGCAAAGTTTTTGTCAGTGTACCACCCAGGTCTATTAGACCGAAAAGGTCCATATTTAGCTACCAGTGACTTCTTGCTATTCCCAAAGCTAAAATCACTGTTCAAAGAGATCTCAGAATATAGTTGAGGTTAAGGATTAAGGAAATCCCAACAGAGTAACTGATAACAGTCCCCAAAGAGGATTTTGCAGATAGTTTTGAAAACTGAAAGTGTGTGAGGTCTCAAGAAGAGTATTTTGAAGAAGACCAAGTTGCCATTATCATAAGTAGGCTATTTTTTCTGTTAATATTAAATATTGAGATACTTTCTAGACAGACATTGTCTATAGGTTTACAGAGATAGGTGAAGATCATATATATATATTGTGATGTACCTACGATTTCATTAACCATATAGGCATAAGGCTAAAACATATAAAGAAAAATCCCAAATTCTAGTTGAAAAATAGATATAAAAAAAAAAATAAATAAAGATAAATAAAATCCAATGCTTTCAACTTGCCAGTGAATATGTTCTATGATCAGCCATACCTTCATCTCTCCAAATTTCTTTCTCTCTTTACCTTCTCTTCCACCCACAGGGCCCATAAACTTTGAAGCGACCTGACCTGAGAATGACCTGGTTCCAAAATCACGCAACCATCAGGCAGTTGACCATAAGTGAATTCCAGGCACTATCAGGCACTCTTGCTGCAATCATGTGATCAGATCCTACTGAGGTTTGATTGAATTTTTGGCCATTATGCAAACACTGCGTGATTTGTGTCCCATCCTCCTGTGTAGCCGGTCAAGGACAAAGAGAAACCAGGTGTCTATCTTTGGGGACAGCAAAAATCTAAAAAAAGGTTTTCAGTTTTCCATCTGACCAGTGGCAGATAAACATCGCTGAGTGAATCATCCTGATTCCAAATGGACTGCCCACCAAAATAAAGAAGACAGCAAAGTCTGTCAACTAGAGAATGAAAGGACTACAACTAAACCAAATTGACCAATGAATGCCTGTATGAGATGCTGTGGACCTCTGACCATTTCCAAAAGTAAAGGAACCCAGGAAAATTGCGAGACGACAAAATATTGTTTTAGCAAAGAACTCTCGCTTCGGCGAATTAGAACTGTGTGGTGATATCAACTCAACTGACCTTCAAGACAGATAAGTTGATTTCTTGGCTTGATTTTTTTATGTATTCACTCGTACCTTCTGTTCTTTCATGATCCCTTTCCCCTTTGTTAAATGAATTTTCTTTTTCTTTCTTTATCTGTTTCTGTATTTATAAATAAATGTTTTATTTTGAAATCCATCGTCTTGTATCTGTTTTTTGCTTGTGTCACTTCCATCTCTGAGTGAAAACCAAGAAAAGATCCCACCTTTTCCCTTTTTTTAAACCCGTGGTTCACCTATATGCTACAAGTTTGTAACAATATATATATATGCCTGAATATACCACCTGATGAGACCATGGCAGTCAAAACTGTAGTAGTGTTCTGGTCAGTGTTCTTATCTTTTTGATATACTAAATCACTCTGCAAGTTTGGTTTTCCTACTTGAAATTGAGCACTTTTTAACATGTACAATTTTAACAGATATTTCACTGTTTGTTTATTCTGGCATATATATATATATATATATATATTATAAAACTATCAAATATATTTAAAAAATTATCATATAATATAGAGTTAAAAGAAATAATTTTTTTTATTTAAATTTTTAAAAGTAAAACATCTCTACTTACCCCTACATCTCCTTCCTGGAGCCTCATCCCAGCAAGGGAAGCTAAAACGTAAAAAGAACTTATATAAATACAGCTTCTGAAGACATGGTTCACCAAGAGTGTGAATGAGATTGCCAAGTGGATCTACTACAGTTGCAAATCAAGAGGTGGAAAGTAAGATATAATGAAAAAAGAAAAAAATTATTGCTGTTATTTCGTTGAAGAATAGTCTGTCTTTAGATGAGTCAATGTGACAATAACTTGACTAGAGTTTTGAAGTAAGTTCACTCAGACAATATGAGCAGAATTTTATTCAGACATAAAAAATACATTTCATGAGTGTAAGTTAAAAAAATCCAGATGAAAGAATTGCTGTAGATGTTTAATTAAAATACTAGTGTTTTAAAGCTGATTGGTAATAGAATATATATATATATATATATATATATATATATATATATATATATATATATATATATATATATTTTCTGTGCTCAGATTGCACATCTAGTTCACTAGGATTTTTTTTAAGCATTATCAAAGTCTCAGACATATACAGTAAATAGTTTATATGAGGTCTGATCAAAAGTATCAGGACTGGTGCTGTAAAAAGAAAACAGCAATACATATCAATTTGGCATCTAATCTCCTTTGAAGTAGTCCCCTTCTGAAGCCACACCCTTTATCCAGCATCATTTCCATTGATGGAAGCATTCCTGGAACTCCTTTTTTGGAATAGTGAGCAGCTGCCTTGTTGCATTGTCTTGAATTTCCTCAACATGTTGAAATCTTGTTCCTTTCAAATGGGATTTGATTCTTGGAAAAAGGAAAAAGTCACAGGGGGTGAGATCTGGAGAATATGGTGATTGTTAAACCTAGGTAATGGTACGCTTGACCCAAAATGTATTTGATGCAGATTAATTGCTCAATTTTCTTTGCCATGGTCATTAATGAAAATTCAGTGGTGTGGTGAGAAGACCACACTCTACACACTTTCCTGGACTAATGGGTGAGCTCAAAATGAGAGATCTTCCATCCCGAATAATTGAATACAAAAACTACCCAGGCGTTAACAGAGAATCTATAAAGAGCCTGGACACCTAACAGATATTCTCCCTTATGAATAAAATACATAGTGGAGAATGAATCATCAGTTACCTCTCCTTAAGATTTAGGAGGTATAAAAAGTACTCTGTAATATCCAGCAGTAGACGAGTAGTCAGAGTAAAGTGCAATAAAGCTTTTGTATAACTTTATTCACTGGTTCTGTTTTTACTACAACCATGAAATATTTTTAGTGACAAAAATTTTTAATTTCTCAGGATTTTTTTTGTTCATTGTTTTAAATATAAAAACTGGCTGGACCCTGCAGGAACTACTCATGACTCTGTGAGCAATAGTTGATTCCAATCTAGGTAGAAATGAGTGCTAAAAACATCTTCTCCCTAAATTTATAGACAAATCCTACATGCTGGAATTTCTTCCTAACCAGTCACATGCACCATAATTCTTTTGTTCTTTCTTGTCTTCAAGTCAGAATGTTACATTCTTGACTGTATCCCATTTGCATGTGAATACAGTTTTAACATTATGAACTTTTTATCACATTACTGTTGCTTTGCTTAGTTTTGACTTGCATATATATTGTTTACTTAGTATTATTTTGCCCTGTTCTTTTTCTTTCTTTTCTTATTGAGAAATTTGTCAATTCCATTTGTTGATAATTTTGCCAATTTCACTTAACCATGTCCAATTACTTCACAGCAAGGTATTTCTGCTCCAAGGAATAATTCAATCAAAGACAAACTCAAAATTGCCACAACAGACTTCCTGTGGAAGTTCAGCTGTATCAGTCAACTGACATAATTCTAGACACTTTGAAGGCTGTCAGAACCAAATTAATATCTCTGGGTATCAATCATGATTCTCCAAAGATACCCCATACAGACAAAATAAAAGAATGTATCAAAAGAAATTGGTAAGCAATATGGGACTCAAATCCTAATAGAGTATACAATATTCAACCAACTATAGGAGAATGGCTCTCAGGTCTCAGAAAAATAAGATGGGTGAAAATATTTATCCAGACCAAATAGGACGTACATGTCTAACAATCTCACATCTACTAAAAATTGATGAAGAATTGTCAGCTATTATTATTCGTTTTTTACTAGTATTTACTTTCATCTTTATGTTTTATTAGATGAAGCATTGTCAGCCATTATTATTCAATTTGAATAGTATTTACTTTCATGTTAATTTTCTTTCAGTGTTTTTTGTTGCAACTCTACTTAGGCTGTCTATTCTATGGCAGTAAACTAACAGTGCACAACTGGAAATAAAGAATAAACACTTTTTGGAGATGCCTCTTCTTCAACAACCAAAAAGGCAACCTGTGGTTTATATTGCAACTATGGTGTGATCAATAGTTAAACAATGACAGTATGCTTGAATCTTCTGTCACGATGACTTGAGACTCTGTGCTAACAGTTTCATCTACCAATTTCACTCACAACACTAACAGACACATGCCAAATAGATGTAAAAAGTACCTAAATATATATGCTTCTTTTCAAGTACACCATCTGCTAGGGTAGCTAGCTAATCCCTGTTGTTGGTGCCTGCTGAGGTACATTTGTGTTTCTTCAATATCAACAGAGCCAACCTTTTGTTTTGTTTATACTATGACTATGCTGATTAGACCATAGTTACAGTTTCTAAGAGGGAGAGTACAATATGGCGTGATCAATAGTTGAGTAAGACCATATGGTTGCAAGTAAGAGAGATGTAAGTAGCAACCACAAATGAAGTAAAACGTTTTTAGAAAACTAAACAAATTTAGCAAGCAATTCCATAATGCTATGAATAGAAGATATGTTGCTTTTTCTCATTGAACCGTTTTTACAGACAAAGAAGAAACTCCAAGCTGCAGGAAATATTTTCAATCAACTGAATCTGAAGTCAACAAAGGTGGGGGATACAATTTCTTTCTTGGAGCCACTACACTAATAACTAAAACTTTTCAGACAAATTAATATTTTAAATAAACCCATGGAAACCTCTTTAAGTTGATTCAAAATAAGCTAAAATTTTTTAAGAAAACTTACCTGGATTATCTCCTGTGAATGCAATGATAGCACAATCAGCAAGGAATCCATATTTCTGTACAAAGTATGGACTGATGTTCCCCTAAATTTAAAGAAAAATTAAGAATTCTTTTTTATTTTATAAATAAGACTCACATATCTTACATGATATAAAAGTGTATGCATTATATATATATATATATATATGGCACACCTCAACATTGTGCAATGGTTAGCAAGCTTTTCTCAATAAAACAGTTACAACTGAATAGTGAGTTTAATTTTTATAATTGAATTTGAATTGAAGTTTCAGTTTTGCAATAGTAATATATTTTTAAAAAAACAATTATAATATATATATATATATATATATATATATATATAAGGTTGATAGAAAGGTTCCTGATACCATTTTCATAAAATATTAGGGAAATTGTAGAAGTGTCTTCAAAGTTTATTCAGTTTTTTATTGATTGGACAATCAGTAAACTGTAATAAACCATTTACCAGCCTTAGGAAAAATTTAGAAGCAAGAAAAATGACTTCCATGTTACAGGAAGCAATATAAGTCATTGTTTAAGGCATTAATCTTTCTCATTTTGCTTTCCACAGAAGAAGCCATTAATATAATAGCCACTGGTATGGCAAAATAGATTTGATCCTAAATGAGGAAAATCTTGGATCCAGGACAGCAAACAACATGAATGGAATCCATGGGGTGGAAAAATGTTGTTCTATCAGCTACAATTTTCCTTTTGTCTTTATTCATATTGTCCTTTTACAGATACATTTTTAGTTATAACTAAAAAAAATTATATATACATCGGGAGGGAGAAAGAGAAACACACAATGTTGGTTCTTATGTTCACAGTCTATATCTATAACTGGTCTATGTGCAAATATTGAGCTCTCTTCTAGAAATATAGCAAATTTTAAGCTACATATATATTTATATACAAGTTCAAACTGATGATTATTTCTACATGAAGTAGCAGATTTGGGTATTGATAATATATATATATATATATATATATATATATATATATATATATATATGTAAAATTTTGTTAACCTGTATTTATACGCAAAAGTAACATGGAGAAAAAATATTGTTATGTTTTCAAATTTTGAATTAGAATTTGAATATTCTAAAATCTTACTGTGTAGCCGAAAGAACGCTAAATTTTTAGACTATTCTTCCCCCACATAGTAAATGAGTGACTACACTATAGATAGTAACTACCTATAAGTATCTGTAAGTTGACAGACTACAGAGACTAGCTGCGATCTGTTCCAGCTAGATGGTTGAACTATCTGCCTTCGGGCAGAGAGGATCCCAGATGAGGCTCTGCCGAAGGGCAGAGTCTCAATCGGGGAGGTTGACCAACCCGATCCTGTTTATGCAGGTTCTACAGGCATTTTTGGGCCAAGCCTACAGGCTCGGAAGACCCATGTTAAACTCGCCTTGTGCCACATCTACCCGGGGGTGGGGGGGCTAGTAAATACTGTCTAGCTGGGATCTGTTGAGTACAACTCAGACTTACACAATAACATTCAACCTTCCAATAGTAGCACTCCCTACTGGAATGACTTGTGACGACCTTGTGCATAACTGTTACCTTTAGTCTTATTGTACTGGTTTTTTACAATAAACATTTACTTATTTTATCCACCTTTTTTTCAAGTATATATTACTATTAGCACAGAATATAACAGTAAAATTTTAGAATATTTTGGAGTGTTCTCAAATTCAAAATTTGAAAGCTTAATAATATTTTTTCTGCATTAATTTTCTGTATAAATTCAGGCTACAAAATAAAATTTTCACTCTTGCCTTTATAAAGTTCCTCATAAAATGAAATGCATTGCCATAAAATTTTCTTCTAGTCTTTTCTTTTTTTGAGATTGTGTTTTTATTTCAAATCAGAAAACATTATATCAAGAATTAATTTTAAATTTAGACATTTTGTAAGAAGCCAAGAAAGGAAATGATATATAGCTATAAAAATATTTTATATGATTAAAGGCATTTTAAAGCATTTTGTATGTTTTAAGGTGAAAATAAAGAATTGGTATTCATTGGCTTTATTAAAACACATTTCATTTCCTAACATTCATGATCAAATAAAAAGTATTTCTAAGTGAATTAATTTTATTTAAAAATTTTACTCATATTTTCTTGTTTATTTCAGATTAATTTGAAGTCACAATCCAATAATTCCACTAACTTTGATGTCATTTGGAGTATTTTATCAGATTACCCAGATCAACTGATAATATGTGTGTAATCTCACTTGGCTTTGCCAAAAGCACTCACTAGGTGGTGCTTTTTAGGTCTATAAAAAGCAATCATATTCTCTCTCTTCTTTTTAGCTGTTTTTAACTTTTGCATCTAAATATAAATGACATAGATAGGAACACTGACAATGAGGTGCATTTGCTTCTATGGTCCTGTTGACTTTTGAACTCTCATACACGCACATAAACATATGTGTCTATCACACATACTTTTTTCACACTCACACACACACACACACACAAAGCATATTCTTATAACTAGTTTTAATGTTTTCCTTTCATTACAATTGTGTACACATGTATTTCCTTTTGTTAATAACATGTATTGTTGTTTGTTTTATTATCATTATTTTTTTTTATACTTTTTTACCCGAACTCACAATAAGTTCACTAATTTTGTTTGCAAGATAAATGTTCCAGGAGCCCATAAATATTTAATATAAAATGTCTTTACTCACAACATAATGGTTATTTATTTCTATCCAAACGTACCAGTATCATGCAGCAAATATGTAATTAACATGATCAAGTTATATTTTTTAGTTTGATCCATTTTAAATTGTATGAGATTTGTTTATTTTTGTATAAACCATTAATGTCTCAGTCATTCATCATTGTGAGACATTTTTTATAAAATATTTTCAAAAGACATCAGAATGTCTCAGAGTTGTTTGTACAATTTATGTTATTTTTTTCATGAAGTTGGAAGAATATTCTAAGAAAAAATGTTACCAATTTTTAGAAAATAATTCTAAAACCAAACATAACATTTTTGTGAAAGAATACTTCTCTTTTTGAAAATCTCTCCCTTTAGTTTTGAACAAAAAATGATTTTCCATAAACCAGACTGCTCCAAAGTGTTTGCTACAAATGTTCAGCTTCAACCAGGGTCTGTTATATGTAAGAGAAATTATGCAAGATTATTCTCTTCAAGAGCATCTTACCACATTCTCTGTTGACTTTACCACAGGTCCAAGTTTTTCAGCCAATTTCTCAGCACAGGCCTTGAAAAGAAAGAAAAAAAGAAAGAAAAGAAAACTAAATGAATAAGTAAATAAAAATAAAAGTTAAGAAATTCAGTGAAAAACATTTTTTTTTCAAACTTAAATCAATTTCTAGAAAAGTTACATGAAAAGCCCCAGATTTTTAAAACATTTTAATTTTGAGGATCAGACTGACCAGTTATTAAGGTTAAGATTTGAAAAGAATCATTTACATTTAAAACTATATAATTAATATTTGTTCTTTATTTGAATATTACAGTACTGACTCCTAATAATTCTATTATAAGTCTTTACTGAGCTTAACTTAGTCTGGCACAAGGCTATGTATGGGGTACCCAATGAGGATCAAACTCACTGCACATATGTATTTATTATACTTTATAATTGTGAAGCATCTTTCAAGAATGGAACTTACTGTATACTAGTAATTGCTCAGCTAGACTAGCTTGTTAACCATTACTCTACATTTAGGCAACCTATTAATTCTCTTATAAAAACCATGTCTCACTTTTCAACCTCAGATGCAATATAACAGGTGCATTGGCAGCGATTATTACATGTGCATCATGAATAATTATGAAAATCTATATAAATTAAAATTCATAAAACAAATAAATTTCATGCTCTTCAATTATAACATATTTTGTAAGTTGACCAACTTCAAACAAAATAAAATTTATTTTTCTTAAATATTATTAATGAAACATGATATTTAAATGAAGAAACTAACTTAAAAGTAGAATTTAGACACCATAAAATTGTCATACTCTGTTGGAAACCCAATTCTTTAACTCAAATGGAAGTGATCACTTTGACATCCATAGTGTGACACTATTTAGCTATGGTAATTGGCTAACTAATTAATCATAGAAATTAAAACAGAAAATAGGTATTCTTAAAGCGGGAAAAGAAAAAGCTATCACGAAAGATAGACTGATCGACATTAAAAGAAAGATTTGATTTTATTTACAAAAAAAAGCCTGCAGAAAGAGCCGTGTGTGAGGTCCTGTCGAGTTAATTTATGTCTCGCCAAGGGAGATAGAAAGAAAGGCAAATATGGAATTATCGGCCAAAACACGTGCTGGTCGTAAAAATTTTGGCTGGAGACAAATGCTGATACAGGCAGGGAGAATCAATGTTAATTATCTTTCCAAGATATTGTTTATTTTTTTCTCTTGGATACAGGCGAAGAGGAGCAATGTGGCAATTATAAAATTTTGGCATTGTCTCGATATAGGTGAGAGGATTGTTATCATTTACTTTGCCAACAGACACTAAGATGTCGAATCACAATGTGGCAATTGTAAACTTTTGGCAATCCCCAGAAAATAGTGGAGAATTGAGATTTGGCGAGGTAAAAGAAATTAATTACTTAACAAGTCAAGGATTCCATTATAAAGCTAACTTAGCATAAAGAACCAGATGGCAAACTTTGACAGTGATTAATGAGACGGTAAGAGTGCTGGCTAAGTGACTTTTGGGTGGCCCAGGAAAAGGAGAAGATACGATAAAAATTTAATTGGCAATGTGGAAATTGTAAACAAAAATTCCAGATTATAATTTTAAGGAGGCCAGCTTAGCCACACCCACACTGCTGAGAGATCATTGGTCGTATGGTAGCAAGGTGATAGGCGGAGGTGAATGGATGAGAAAGGCAGAGAAGGTGTTAATGCTCACTGAAGGGATTTGTATGAGATACCAATGTGAGAGAGAAAGAGCCTAGGAGGATAGCTCTCCTCCGGCTTTCCCTCACAAACGACGGAGATCTCCCTGAAATGGGAAGTGGTTAATTTTCCAAAAATGGGAAATAATCAATTTTCCTGTCCTGACAACAAAGAGATTTCTTGTTAGAAATAGAGATTACCAAGAACCCCAGGCCGTATCGGGCCCCCATACTGGGTTTTGGCCAGTACCTATATAAACAAACGTCCCCAGGCAGTTGAGTTAAGTTGCAGTTCAGCTCTGGACAGAGTCAGTTTGAGTAGCAGGAACCAGAGTGTTGCCTTGCAGAAGCTGACTGAGAGATTCCATGACCCCCAACTTCGCTGATTCTACCAATAGCAAGTTATACTGACGAACAAAGTTAAGCCAGCACTTAAAAACTAAATTAGTTGACTTACGATATCAACTTGCTTGAAACATAGAAGTGTCACATATTGTAGGAAACGGGCTGGGAGAAAAATACACTTCTGTATATAACAGAAGGATAAAGTTAAATTGTTATTTCTTAACATACTTGAACCTCTTAGGTTTTTCTTTCATTTATTTTTTTTTCTTTGCGCTTGTGCAATCCCACCTTCAGTTTGGACTCAGCTTACACTACGGCCCAATGCCTAATTGATCTTGTCTACCTAAGATCAAAGTCACAATGTGGGTAGGTTAGACTTGAGATTAAAGCAGTTACTCCAGTAACCAGACGTTGCAAATGAGCTGGGAACGATAGAGTTGATATTGAACTGGTACAGCTGGTGAAGCCGTTAACATTGATGATCAGAATTTGACCCTGGTGCCACATATTGGTGCCGTGACCACTGGATTTGACCCTGGATGGCTGAGTGTCACATATTGGTGTCCTGACTGGGGGATTTTGCCGAGTAGCGATGACCACCGAATGACCGGGACACAGTTGGTGGCAGCGACAAAAAGTCAACCCCAAAACGCCGGTAGAAGAAACCTTACAGCTTCGCGCCATGACTGGGAGTTGATCATGGGCCAACGGCTTAGTGTCACAACAGCGTATAAGATAAAAAATGCACCTTAATTTTGTCTGACTCTGTACACCCACATCTGGAATACTGTCTGAAAATTACATTCATAAAACACCTTTTCTGAGCAATCAAAAAAAGCCCATACAGTTTTTGCAGCAATTGTTTCTGAGCCACTGACTCAATATAAAGCCAAATTTGATTTTACCTTTGAAGGCAGATCCAACTCGGCTGCTATTAGTGACAGACCCCCAAGGCAGGCAAGCTTGACCATGCCATCAGTAGCAGCAACAACAAGGCATTTCCATCAGCAGTGCATGCCTTTTGCTCAACTATATATGTGTGTTGATTTTCTCCAGATGTCTATCTCAGCTACTACCTACTACCTTGTGTTATACCCAAACAAATTCTCAGTCTGCCACAACTGATATGCAATGCCCAGGAATGAGCAAATGATCGAACCTTGTAAATCATGGGAAATAGAAACTCTTTCACTTGTCTCAACAATGTCTTATTTGTAGTTTTGTCACTTCCACTTTTTACTCTTTTAAAAGTAAGACTGTCATTACATAATTTACATAAAAAGATAAAATTTATGCATCATTTGAAACATGAAATCATCACAGTATGAACTTTCATATTTCTAATATCTGTAATAATTGAATGGTATTAAAATTTAAATTAACACAGAAATTAAAATTATTTTTACATACTAAGTCATCTGTTCACAACTATGTTTATGAAAAAAAATATATATATATAGAAGAAAAAAAGGAAATTCATTTCCTACCTTTCAAGATGTTCATAACTACATATTAATACAAATCAACTAAATTCATTAAAAAGATAAGTAAATTATTTTCCGTTCAGTCACATTTTATACATTTCCATTTACAAAAAAAAGCAATTGCACACATGAACAAATATGTATTTCAAACACACAAATTGTGTTATCAATGACAAAATTAAAAAACTTTGTTGCAAAAGTTATGCATAAAAAAATTGTTATATTTTACAAAACCTTGTTTATTTTTTACTTATCACTTTTCAATAAATTTATGGAAGTTTAAACAAACCCACATCAAAATTAAAACTCCACATCTTACATTTATAATTCTAGATCATCTTATAAAACAGGCAAATAAAGAGTTTTAGGAGGAAATAATTCTTTACTGAAAATAGAGCATTTATAGAATTAAAAGGCAAACTCAATATCTAACAAAGCTTGCAAATTCTTTATCTAAAAATTAACATCAAATTTTCTCACCTGCAGGCATTCTTCAGACCACTGTTTCTTCCTGATATCTAACAGATTCATTCCAGACCCATCGCTGTAGTCAATTGGAGCATATTTGCCAATCATCAAGGAAGCTCCAAAGCTGCTGACCAATGAAATTCTCTGTTGAAATAGCAATTCAAGAAATTAATTTTGTAAAAATTTACAAGTAATATAGCTCCAAGCATTAGTCTCAGAAAACAATTGGTAGAATGCATACAGACACACATTCCTATATATGATTGAAAAACATGGATGATAGAGGGAATAACTAAATAGGGAACAAGTAGGAAAATCTTTATAAATTTAACATTTTGCTATTTATTTGGCTTTATTGAGATATAGAATTAAAATAATACAGAGTTATGTTTCAAGTTTTAAATTTTATGTTGTTTTGTTTCCATTGGATGCAAGGCTAGTGCAAGGGACTTGTGCCCCACTCGAATGTATGATAAGGGACTTCCCACTCTACTACATTGCAATTTTCATAAGGTACTATTCATATAAAATACAAATTCTATTGTAACCTAATTATATACAATAACAGATCATATGCAATATAGGTGAACAATTTAACTAGAAAAACTGAAAATAAATCCAATGTATCTAAATACAAATTAGAGACACATCATAATAAATCATTCCATCTTAAATAAATCAACAATGTTTTGCGGCAATTTTTAACATCAACTTGAGATTTTCCTTGTTAAAAATGTTGAATAATTTTTATGCATTGAACATTATGGAAAAAAAAAATAATGAATTTTATATTGTGTTTTTTTCGAGACTTAGTATGAGCAAAACAAATTCATGGATCTGACCAAAAAATGACCCCAGAATGACATCAAAACCTGCAAAAATGTTTCATCCTTTCATAGTCAGTTGTGCTTAGTTTAATTTGTAACATATAAGTGTAGGTAGAAAAAAAAGCAAATGTTGATTAGATAGTAAGGGTCACAGGCTTGCCCCACATTTGGGGGTAGTATGCACCGACCTTGATTGGTTGTGTTGATGTCAAGTGTATATCTTATGACATTTGTGTTTATGCATATATCAATCTTTTAAAATTCTATGTTTGTTTTTCTTTAAATTATAAATTCTATGTTTGCCTTAATTGCTTTAATTGACATTTATTGGGTTGGTGCATAATTATCAGGCGTTTTTTTAAACAATATTTATTATAAAAAAAGAAACATAACAATTCAACAATAACATTTTTAAATGATTATTCCAGAGTGTATGATTATCAACACACATTTTTATAACCTGAAAATAAAATAATATTTTTATTAAAAAAAGTAAACAAAATAGCAATTTTTATTAATATATAACTTGCCTACAAAAACGCCTGATAATTATGCACCAACCCAATATATATATACCCTATGGTATATATGTTTATGTTGGTTCTTAAAATGGTTATGTCATTTAACTATATGTTAAAAACTAGGCATCATTGGTATGATGATAAATTACATCTGTGTCCTGGGTAAGACGATAAAGTATGTCCAACAGAAAGACCTCTGATCAGGAGGTTTTGAGGAGTGTGGAACCACCTCTTAATTGCTGGTGTTCCCAGGTCCACCCTGACCCAGGGTGGTAGCACCTGTTAGGGTCCCAGCTATGGGTAAATAGTTAATCCCCAAACTTGGGTCAAAACACTATGAAAGTGTAAAAATAGGTTTTAATACCAGAAATACTTTGTAAAAAATTTTTACCAGCAATAAAATTTTGAAAAATGAAAAAAAATATTACAGCAATACATTTTCAGGAAAAAAAAAATATTACCAGCAATACATTTTCAGAAAAAAAAAATATTACCAGCAATACATTTTCAGAAAAAAAAAATATTACCAGCAATACATTTTCAGAAAAAAAAAATATTACCAGTAATAAAAATCTTGTCAGCATTAAATAAGCTATTGAGGTTGATATGTTGTAAAACAAACCAAACCAAAAACTAGGTTTATTAGAGTAAATTAATTGTATGATAAATAAAAGTAATGCATGGAAGTGAATATTAGGTTACCTCACCTGAACATAATTAGATCTGACATTAAATGTTGATTTTACAAATATTGGTGACAGGAAGAATTGTTTTTGGTGGGCATTTATTGTATTTTGATTATTTATTAATATTCCTTCTAGATGTTTTCTGTATAATAGGCTGTTTTCTTTCGTTAATAAAGTAGCATGTTTAAACTCAAAATTGTGACTGGTCTTGTTTCTGTGAAATGCTAAAGAATTTAATGGGTAATTTTAATCTCTTCTGTGTTCATAAATGTGGATCTTAAAAATTGAAACAGAAATCTGCACTAATTCACTTGCCAAAATTCATGAGGAAGCTAAATAATTTATAAATAATTTATAAAAATTTTCCTATCTATCTCATTTGTCGAAATCAAAGTGTCACTATGAACTCCTTGATCCTTTCATTGACTGCATAATGTATGTTTCACCAGAGTCTTGAATTCAGAATTGTGCTTCCTGTAGGCTGGTTGCCAACTGTGACTAGAGAGCTGAGTCTGCCCTGCTATTCAACTCATAGATTTTCCCCACTTGTACCTTACTTAATCATATATATATTGTTGCAGGTCAATGTATGTGGTTCCCAACTTGTTTCAAGCATTAGTAACATTGATGTTTGAAATTGGTAATAACACACTTTCTCCTGAAATACCCACATCAATTGAACATGTCAGACTCGGGATGTGAGTCCATGTAAAGAAATGAAAAACAAAAGATAAGAACCAATATATACATATAAACAAATGATATTGTATTAATAACAAAAGTATACAAGCAACAAAGACAATAATGCGTATAACAAATGAATGTGGAAACCATTTGGGTTCAAAGTATGTGAAGTGAGTGAATGTGCATACAGACATGTATGTGTGCATGTATATTGTTCATGCGTTTCCCAAAGAGAAGCATGTTTTTTGTGACATGTTACATGTTGGAGGATAAGGTAAGAAGAGAGTGAGAAAAATATTGCCAAGTATTTATAGTCCAGAGATCATCCCCTAGTAACAGTTTCAAAAATTAGAAGGAGGTAACCCAACACTATATGTGTGTGTGTGTATGCTGGATGGAAGGATTCCAAAGGTCCTTCTGTATGGGAAACTGGCCACAAGAGAAAAGCCTCATCTTCATTTGCAAGGATGTTTGCAAAATGGACATGAGGGTGATGAATCTGGAGATGTGATTTACACCAAAGGCCGGAGCATGGAGAGGAGAAATGAAGGCTTACCACCAGGAAAAAGCAAACTTGATGGAAAAAAAACAACACAGCAATATCGGGAAAGAACATCTTCACATGTATTCATTGCAATCAAGACTGTCACTCCTGTGTAGACTTGTACAGCCGTAACAGAGGCCATGCTGGGATCATCAGCTGAGGCATAACTCTTCAGGCGGTGATCTATGGTTTCTTGAGACTGACATATGCCACACTTTGTGTGAGAGAAAGAGAGATAGGGAGAGGGAAAAAGAGAGAGAGAATGAATTTCTATAAGAAAGAGAGAGAAATGTTCAACCAAGTAGCTTCTAAACATAATAATCTGTATGTGGTGATTGATATATACATAGTTTCAAGCTGAAGATGTATAACTGGGCACTAAAACAACTGGACAAATACCAGATGTGTGCAAAAATTTACAACACTCTGTTTTTAAATCTAGAGACTAAATATACACAATTGAAAAACCAGTATTTTGCTGGAAACTTTTGCATACACCTAATATATAAGTGTGTATTAATTATGAGTTTTGTTTATAACAAAAATACATGTTTTGAGCTTTAAACTAAAAAGTACAGTTTGTAGATGCTATCCAGAAAGGAGTTTTGGAATTAGGTATATAAAACTTTTAAAATGCTCTTTAAACACAGACATATTGTTGAATGAATAATGTGTAAACAGAAAGACTTACTTCTGTGTCATCATAAGCATAACGGTCATTTTGAAAGATTTTTGCTATTTGATTTCCAGTGAACCTTTCATAAGCACGGGATCCAGTAATTTCAGCCAGACGCTATGAAAAATGACCACAGACATTATCATTAAAAATATTGAATTTTACAAAATAAATAACAAAAACTTCATACATTATTTGAATTGTCTTCATCTTTATTGTTAGAAAAAATGAAGACACCTAAAAATGTCTCATTCAAAACAAAGTGCTCTTAAAAGCAAAAAGAAGATATTAATGTGAATAACATAAAAACAAAGGTATTGCACATACAACCAAATTTACAAATGAAACTGAACCAAACATTACTTTTTCTTAATATCATGTTAACCTGCCATTATGATCTAAAGCTAAGCGTCTATTGAAAAATGAGTTCATAAACCTCTATTCACACCACAACAACGAAAATTCAGCATCTTTTTGCTTAAGAGCACTTAGTTCTCTTTATGAAGAAAATACAAACTCCTGTAGTATCATAATTATATCATATATAATGCAAAAAGGAAAGCTTATAAAATCCATAAAACCAAAATGAAAACAACATAAATGACCTTGATAAAAATAGTTTCTAATCTAAAAAACTTTGACAAAAATAGAAAAAATAAAATTTTTGCAACAGAAGTTAGACAATTTTAGCAATGTATAACAATTAAGTAATATTTCATAATTCTACAAATTCCCATCCTTTATATAAAAAAAAATTAGATTTTTTGCTGAAATCTACCAGAGAGTGAGTAGAAAAACTTTTTATAAAAAACATTTTGATTGCATTAATACAGTGCATTCCAACATTTTATACAAATAAGAACAATTACAATAATTATGAAATCAATCATTGGAATGGCAGAAAATTTTGGTCAAATATGTCTTTTGCACATGTAGAATATCCCAAAATCTTGGGTAGCAGCAAGGAACTAGATCTGAGTTTATGCTTGAATTTATAAAAGGTTATTTTATTCACCCTTCCACCTTTCATGCAATCATCTCAAAAAATCAATGTGAATGTATGTAAAGATAAAAAAAATGAGAGAAAGTGACTAACCAAACAATAATTTATTCAAAGTTATGACATAAAGAACTTCTAAATGATAAACTGAGTGCAACAACAAAGCAGAAATTAATACTATTTACTTATATAATTTCAATTCTCTCTAATGACTTCAAGCTGCCAAATGTCCACAAAATTTGAGAATTTCTTCAGGTTAATGGATTTACAGTTAACCAAACTTCATTTTGGATACAAATTGCTTGCCACTCTCATAAGTAATCCTTCATGGGTTCTTAAGGTGGTGAACATAGCAACAACAGCATAACCCTAGTTTACTTGAGTATTCATTAATTGCACTAGCACTGGGAACTTGAATGTTGTTGTGCATGTAAGTGACTTTTCTTTTGAATGCTATTGTCTTCTTAAGTCATGTTTGAAATTTAGCCTTTAGTAATACAATGAAAGCTGAAGAGATCATTTTAATGTTCAACCTTTCAAGTGCCAACCAACTCATTACAGATGATTCCTGCTCAAAATATAACCCCACCTCCACCAAACAGGTTTAGGTTCCTCCATCAGGTACGACCCATTCTCTGTGAGCACCATCCACCATTGTCTGTGAATATCAAATTTCTGAAAATCCAGTTTCATATACTGTTTGGTCTAGTTGACACACTTAACAAAGTGAGTCAACTTCAAAAGAGGATGAAAAATTTGTTTGATGAAATTTCTTAAATGCTTTAGTATATAGTGTCTTGAGATTTTAAGCACATTTGGAGCTGCAATGGCTTCAAATAATTCTTTACTACCTACAAGCAACTGTGGTTTCAGATCTCAGTTTTCAATTGGATTTCCATTTGATGAGTGAAAGTCAAAGGCTTCATTGTCTTTTCTTTATTAGTTGTGCACTGTATGCAACCAAGTTTGTAGCAGCTTCTTTGATCATACAATGGTCTCTTACAAGAAATTTAGCAATTTCCAATGTTGCTTTGCGATCATGAAGCATTTGAACAATTTTCACATTTTTGTTGTTGTTCAGACATGGTTTACAGCATGTCTGAACAATGATAGCAATTCATAAAGAAATAAAAAAGTTGGAAAATGTATAAAGAATTGGAAAAGTGGGAACAAATATCCTCAAAATGGTTACCATTTGCTTACTGTAGCACAGAACCACATGTTATTCAATCCAAATTCAAATGTCAATAAAAGTTCAATTTACATACACTTAATAAGAAGATATTTAAAACATCTTGAAGGTGATGGGTTTGAAAAATATACCTCATGTAGAAGAACTTCCCATACAACCCTATGATCATTTACTGCATCATATTTGCAACTTGAGAGTAGGTGCTGTCATGCAACAAAACCATTAACATCTTTGCCAAGAAGAAGAGCTTTTCTGTTTCTAATGTGTCATTCAAATGGGCCAATTTCTCACTGTACTGTTGAACAGTAACAGTTTGTTTAAGTTCTTGTAATTTCCTGTAAAGAATTCCATTCAAATCCTGCCAAACAAGAGAAATTTTCCCCCTGCATATAATGTTTAGGTTGAAATGTTGAAGACTATCATTAATTTAATTACATTTTTTAAATAAATCAGTTTTTCATTGTCAGTGACTATCTTTTCCCAAAATGATGTTTTCTGCATTTGAAGAAGAAGAGAAAGATAAGTAAACACTGACTGATGTTCACTTTTGTCGACCCTGAATTTTTCTCAAGTTTATAAATTATGGATTAAAGTTAATGTATTATACAAGCAACAAAGAATTAAATAAAATTGAAGGACACTTATAAGATTTCCTTAACATTGTACAAAACATGGTACTAGCAACTTTTGCATTAACCTCAAACTTTCTATTAAGTGAAAGAGAATAATTTTGACTAATCTTATTTTTTAAAAAGGCTTCTTAATCGGATTCCTATTAATCATTAAAAAGGTTTTTTATAACAAATCATTTGTCTCCTTATAAATTGGATATTACAATATAGCTAAGATCAGATGACTTTGCTGAAAAACACTTTATGGACAATGGATGGTTTCCAATAACAATAATGAAAACAAGATTGTAAATAGGAAATCGTTTTTACTAACATCAGCTCCACCCACTGCAGATTCAAGCTGTTGACACTGACGGCTCGTACTTGCATCCATCCAAATGGGACTGTCTGCAATGCTGAAACAATCCTGAAAATGATTTTTAAAAAAAGAATCAGAGATTCAGAAATTAAATAAAAAAAATTGAATAAAAATTGATGAAATAAAATATAAAGTAAGTTTTCATATTATGGCTTCCATGGATTATTAAAACTAAACAAGATGGCCACATAGCTGAAAATATCCTTTGCAATTTTTTTCTTTTTAAATAACATCCTTAAAGCTCACCAAAGTTGGTAGTCAAATAAAAAGCAAGTTTTCATATTATAGCTTTCATGGATTATTAAAACTAATCAAGATGGCTACATAGATAAATGTATCTTTTTTAATTTTTTCTTTTTTTTTTAAATCACATTCTTAAAGTAGTTAGTTAAATATAAAGGAAATTTTCACTTTTATGGATTAAGGCTTACAGTTTAACTGATTTTCTGATACACTCTTTAAGTACAATCTAAGAAACATCTATTTAATAGAAATGGTATCAGTTAGTAAAAGTAGTATAACAAAAGATGAATTCATTGAAATTAGCTACAATGCCTATTCACTTGACTTATACAATAGATTATCACTTTTTTAAGCATCTCAGCAACCTTCTTATGAAGGGAAACTACTTTGAACAGGACCCAATTAAAAAAGTTTGTAATTAATTTATTTTTTGAATAAATCATTTTTACAGAGAGAATTCATGCTGCCAGAGTAGTTGAGGAGGAATACTGGGAGTGAATCATTTTTTTTTTCTATGAAAGCTTTTCAATTTATCTCGATGGGACAACAAAAAGAAAGTGATTTACCTTTAGCTGCTGGTGAAGCGTCTGCTCTGGCTTCAGATTTTTCAAGATGGTCTCTGCTCCTTTCTTCCAATAAACACTTCCATGTTGCTTGAATAAAAAGGAAAAAGAAATATTGGAACTGAAATTGTAATGCTGAACTGATCAACAAAGCGGAAAAGATGAACTATGTATAAATCATGAAGCAAAGATTATGACTCAATGAAAATACATTACTGATCAGTTTAACAATTCACCTCATTTATATTTAATATTACAATATTGTAAAGTTAGGTTAGGTATAAAGACTGGTAGACTTTGAGTAAACATTAGTCTATCAGATGCCTCAACTTTGTATGTAAATTCCAAAGGAAATTTATTTTGAATGATTTTTTAGCAAAAAGACCTGGGATGATTATACACCATCAGATATGGTGAAGATGACATTGCACAAAATATTGGTGTTTCTAGAATGGAACCAGTATATTAAGAACTGGAGTTTTGTAAAATCCTGTAATGATACAGAAGGCATTTATCTCCCTTTGGTGAAGATAATTCATGTGGATCACATGACATCTGCTTATTGGTATTGACATCACTCTATACAGTGACAAAATCGGCAGGCAAATTCAGATTGTTTTACAGCGGGCACCATTTAAGGTTGCTTTCTTTTAGCCTGGGTCAAAGGGCCCAGGCTGAGGCTAAATCTGCTTCCCTCAGTAGCTTACAAGTCCATGGTGCAGTTTCTCTTTGGGAATATATCTTTCCAAAATATAGTATGAAACTCCAGCATTCAATTGTCAATTTTGGAAAACCCAAGACTTCTGAGGTCTGTTATAACATTTGAGCTTCCAAAAGGTAAATCAACATTAGACATATCCAAAATGATTAGAAGGCATCACCAAACTGTGAAAAGGTTTGTTGCAGCTCCTATGAAGGTACATAAGAGGGCTGATAAGGGTCACTTTGGGTTTGTTTCCCGACATTCTCAGTTGCGAATTAAACGCAAAGCTGTAAATAACCCAGGCCTGACCATCGGAGAACTTTTCAGGCACACTGAAGAAACAACTGTGTCCAGCACTATTTGATGTCATCTTCTGAAAAAGGTCAGGAAATCATTGAGACTGGTGACAACACCTCCATTCAGAAAAAGACATGTACAAAAGTGTCTGAAATGGGTAGAAGATAACATGAAGGTTGACTTCTCAAAGGTTTTGTTCATGGATGAATCTTGTGCTACCATTCATGGCCCTGATGGTTTGAGCAAAGGTTGGGTTGTAAACAGACGACATCATCATCAATGCTTGAGATGCCAACAAGGAAGAGGGGGTATCATGATTTGGGCTGGTATTATTGAAAGTATCATGACTGATATGTGAAAAGTGTTTGACGGTATTAAAATGACTGCAGATGCTTATATAACCTTCCCGAGAGAGCACCTTGAATCTTGTTTAAAAAAGCAAAGGATTACATTCAGGAGAACCATCATATTTATGCAAGATAATGCTCCCTTGCATGCAGCACATAAAACTACAAAGTACCTGCAACAATTATGTTCTTGTGGACCTCAGAAAATGAACAGGCTGGCCAATTCTCCAAACTTAAACCCAATTGAAAACTTGTGGGGCATTCTGAAGCGAGGGGTTTACAAGAACGGACACCAATTTAGAAGCAAGGATGACTTGTGGCAGACAATAGTGAATGTATCACGTGGAATTACATTAGAGAAGGTCCAGAAACTGACATATTCCATGGACCAGTGCTTTATCCATGTCATTTCAAGAAGAGGATCACATATCCCTTATTAACCAGATCCATTATTATTTTTGAACTCTGTGTAATTGTTCATCTCTATTTATTTCATGTCGGTCAGTGTATATATTCATAACAATCTGTATATGAAGCAATTAAAGCATTATTTTCTTGTTTATATGAATTTTAATTACACCTCGCTAATAATTTGGAACAGTTTGGCTTCCTGTGCTGCTCCAGGAAATTTTTCTCCTTGGAATTGATCCTTCAGATCTACAAATCAACAATTCACCCTTGCATGGAGTATTGCTGCCATATATGGTCTGGAGCCCCTTCTGTTTGCCTGGGGTTCTTGATAAGATCCAGAGGCGGATATGCAATATAATTGGCCCTGACTCGTCTACAGTCGCTCTCACAGATGTGCCGTCACCTCTCTCTGTCTGTTTTACAAATACTTTCATGGTAATTGCTCCGAGGAGCTGCATTCGCTGGTTCCCAGACTTCATGAATTCAAGCGCCCTACAAAGCTGGCATCTCACCCTTTCACTGTTGAAACTATTAAATGTAGCCATCTCTTCTACTCCAATAGCTTCATATCTTGCACCTCTCGCCTTTGGAACTCCCTTCCCCATTCCTGTTTCCCTGACAGCTATAATTTCCAACTATTCAAATGTAATGTCAATCGACATCTCCAGTTGCCTTGATCTATCCTCTACCCTTCTCCTCATCCTTTCTTCTATCACTCCTATCTGATCTTGCTCCAAATCTTCTGTAACCCCTTGCGTCCTAGTGGCTTCCCACCTTGTTTGGGGTGAAATGCTTAAAAAAAAAAAAAAAGTTATAATTTATGTAAATTAGGTAAATGACCATATTTTCTGTGTATTTTTGTGGAACTTTACACTTTTTACAAGGTATATGCATATAGCTGTTGCCATCATTCTGTGAAAATTTCATTAAATTCCAATGTGTAGTTTTTGGACAAAATGGAAAATTGTCACCTTGTTAATAATTTGTTACACAGTGTAGTTAAATCTGACCCATTTTGAATCTTGAGTCCTAAATATGGCTTCTCCAGACACAGGAGTATCTCCATGTTATATGTAAGACCCTTCCTTTTTGTTTCTTCTCTTGGACTCTGCTTTGCTATGTGATATATTATTCTCCATGTGGGACACTTGTATAATGGCCCTGACGATTGAAGCAATGGTTGGGTCATAAACAGACGACATTGTCATCAACACTTGAGATGCCAACAAGAAGGAGGGGTATCATGATTTAGACTGGTATTATTGGAGGTATAATTCTCTACATGGGACACTTGTATATGCATATATAGTTTTGTGTATGTCTTAGTGATATAAAACTCCTTATGAGTACAAAGCATGTTTGTCATTCTTTTTCCTTCCGTCCATTCCATTCTGTCTGTGAACTATAGTGTTAATATAACACAGATGTAATAATGCCCATAATGGGGGAAATACAAATGGCAGAATAAATCATTCTACCATAGCTCTCTCCTGTTATAATCCTATTAGAAAAATCTTTTCTCTCAGTATCTTGGTTTTTCAAGGTTTTGTTTTAAACATTAAAATGTGTGTATATTTGCTTATCATTGTTGCTGCTTTTTTTTTAACACATCCTTTCAGTCAGTGCATCCTTTGGACTTCTTCAGGTGTACACTATAGGGAAAGAACAAGGACTCTGTTTTTCTTGTGTAGCTGAAGTCTACCAATACTGTTAAATAAAAACAGAAGAAAAATGGTGAGAAATATGCTGATCAGACCACTCCATTATGATAAACCTTATGAGTATAGTAATACAAATGACATGGAGGATTGCACATTTGTATCAAGGTTGTTTTTCTTGTCTTTCTTTGAAAATCATCAACATATATGTTTCTGAATTTGCTTTATAAAACAAAAAAGTAAATAAATAAAATAAAAACACACCCCACAAAAAAACAACAGAATAATGATAGTATTAATTTCAGTCATTTTTCTTTCATTTATCTGACTGTTTTTTTTTATTTTTATGGCTGCTAAAAAGGCAACATATATTGGAAATTAAAGCTGTTTCTAACTTGTTCAGAAAATTTACCTGCCATATTTGAGTTTTTTTCCTGTTGATGGGTTACCATAGCCTAATTGTCAAAGTGTTGTGATAAAATAATGGAAAAAAAATCTATTAAAAATAAATAACAAAAATGCTTTATATAAGAACCTTAAAAAGAAAATGAAAAGTATTTACTGGTCCTTCAAAGATGAAATATTGTCAGTATAATTAATTTTGATTATTTTATTCTTTTATCTTCTGCTTTAAATAACAAAATTCACAGTTGATCCATTGTCTTGCTGTCAAAGTAAACAGCATGAAATTAGAATGAATAACAAAAGAATCCCCTCACCCTGATATTCCATATCCCCAGAGCTGATTTTACATGAATGATTCCTTAACCAATTTGGCTACAGCACAGCTCTCATCTAGAGAGATGAGAGCCTTACTTAGCTTCACAGCTAAGTAAGGCTCTCATCTAGATTCATTCAACTATGTGCTATATCACTTCAGAATCTAGGTGATCATGACTCTCCACAACTTCCTTTTGTTTTTTGTTACTCTCGGTATTATTTACTCTTTTATGACTTCTCTTTGTCTTTGCATTACTTATTTCATCATCCATTTGCACAAACTTGTCAAATAGATTCTGACTCAGTATGTCTATTTCTGAAATGAGGTATTATGTACAATATTTACATTATTCAGACTATTCTCCTCATCTTTGTTGCCATATTTATTACCACATTTTGGCTGTTGTATGCTCCAACCTTCTTCAGGTCACATGGCACAGTGGATAAAAGTGATAGTTAGATCCAGTGACAGGAGCCAAAGAGTATGAGTTCAATACCTGGTTAAGGCGGTGGAGAACTTGGCAAGGGGAATTAACAGGAGATAACTGATAACTGACATCCATTAGACATGGCATGTGGAACTAGAACAGTCTACCCCAGTGAGTGAAATAAAGGGTTCAGTTCGACATTCCAACCACCTGAAGAAGGTTGGAGCGTACAACGGCCAAAACATTGTAATAAGTATGGCGACAAAGATGAGGACAATAGTCTGAATAATGTAAATATTGTACATTCTGACTCTCTTTCTATGTCCCTACAAGATATATGCAATCATAGTTCTCCACAGCCTCTTATGTTTTATTGTTCTTGGTAATACTGGCTCTTTTATGATCCCTCTTTGTTTTTCTGCTTTCTATTTGTTCGTAATGCTCAATTACTTGCTGCTTTTCCTAGTTTCCCTCATTTTCAATGTGTTCTATAAGTGCTAAATTCTCCAAGCTTTCTTTCCTCATTATGTGCTTCAGAATTTTCCACTGTCTGTTTCTGAATTAGAAAAACTTTCTTTATAGTTTCCTTAAAATGTCTTCATTTATCAAATTGTTGTCTGCTACCAAATGTCATATGCTCTGACACTAGTATACACAACATATCATTTTAACACTTTGATAAAAAGCAACAAAATGCAATAAAAAATAGTAAAAAATTAATAACTTAAGTGCATGTATGAAACATTTTCTCTCAGTATGCTCCATATATTAATTTACTTGTAAAATCAAAATGACCAACGAATACATGACCTTACCTGACCAGTTCCTGAAATAGCAGCAACTTTTGAAAAATCAAATCCATCAGCTTTTAGTTGATCTAAGATAACATCCAATGCCTACAAAAAGAAAGCCAAATTTATAAAAGCATAATTATTTTGGTCATTATAAAGGATTATTATAAAAAGGATTTAAAAAAGGATAAAGGATTATTATCAAAAGGATTCCAAAAAAGATAAAGGATTATTATGAAAATAATTCCAAAAAGGTTAAAGGATTATTATAAAAAGGATTGCATAAAGGATAAAGGATTATTATAAAAAGGATTGCATAAAGGATAAAGGATTATTATAAAAAGGATTTTGAAAAGGTTAAAGGATTATTATAAAAAGGATTTTGAAAAGGTTAAAGGATTATTATAAAAAGGATTCCAAAAAGGATAAAGGATTATTATAAAAAAGATTCCAAAAAGTATATATATATATATATATATATATATATATATATAAAATCTTGCTTTATTGTAACACTTTTCATAGCCAAGTGGTAAAAGCATGCCAGATCAAACGATGGTACCTTCCGCAAAGGAGGATGCAAGTTCAAACCGGCCAGATGGTATATTTTGTTTATTAAGTTTTCTCAAATGTGCTGGCCTGTAGATGAAATAAATACTGCTTAAAATAAACAGAGCATCTACTCAAAATATAGGTGTTCATTAAAAATAATGTTTGAAGTGATAAAAAGATGTTGGATTAAATAACAAAATCCATTAATTCTTTATATATATATATAAGCAGTAAATTGCTGATACCCCTGAAGAATGGATGGACAGGTCCATCTATAGAACTCTGGATTTGGAATGCTGAAGGTAACATCAATCAGCTAAGTGACAAATTCTACTCATATTAGTCATATATATATATATATATATATATATACACACACACAGTGGGAGGAAAGAAATATTCATACACATTCAAATTTTTATTTATTATATTTCCAACTAATGAATTAATATAATTTTCATATAATTAACTGTACACAAATGCATAATAACTAAAAATACATAGAAAACAGAAAAAAATTGATTTAATAGAAATAAATCTCATTTATCCATTTTAATGGGTGAAAAAAGTATTTGTACAAAAAAGAATTCATTTAATACTTTGTAGAACAGCCATTATTTCCTTTTACAGCAACCAACTTCTTCTTGTAGTTCTCAATTAATAATTTGTAAATTTTAGTTGGTAATTTGTTCCATTCTTCTTTGCATTTGGTCTTAGATCCGGGATGTTTGTTGGAGCTCTTGATTGGATTTAAATCTGGGGACTGACTTGACTATTTCAGGATATTTACATTATTTTCAGCAAGCCATTTCTTCATAGATTTTGTAGTGTACTTAGGACCATTATCTTAATTGAAGATCCAATCAGAAGAAAGTTCAAGATTTTCAACCAACATCATTATATTTGCTTCCAAAATATTTTGATATGTTGTGGCATTCATTCTACAATCAATTAGTGATATGTTGCCAATACCTTTTGCAGAAAAACATCCCCAAACCATGATGCTGCCACCAGCAAATTTCACTGTTAGAGCTGTGTTCTTTTGTTTGAAGGCATCACCAGCTTTCCACGATTTATGTCCAAACTCAGTTTTGGTTTTGTCTTTCCTAATATGATTTTTTCTTATCCTTATGTTCACAACAAATTTCAAACTGGCATCTCTGTGTCTTTTCAATAGTAGTGGTGTTTTGCTTATTATCTGTTTAGTGACACAGATTCCTGAAGAAAGCAACAATTGGTTGCAACAAAATCAAATAGTTACTAGTCAAGAATAACAATTTGGTTTTGTTTAATTTGATACATTAATTTCCTTGAAGATCTTAAAGGAATCTTCCATGGAGTACCTGTTTTTATTTGTTTTTTCAATAGTTTTGAGATTGTTACACCTTGCAATGTAAATGGAATATTCAGGTTGTCTGAGATTTTCCTGTAACTTTTACTTTTTTTCCAGAGTGTAACAATCAATTCTTTTTGCAAATTTGTCAATTCTTTACCTCTTGCAAAGATAATAACCTTCTTGCACGAATATCAGTTACAGAATGTTCTGTTTGTATTTTTTAGGCTAAAAATAACTACTGATAACATTATTGGAACATTCTTGAATATTTCACTCGAATAATCTAGAGTATTAAAGCAATTTAAAAAATTTTTAAATCTGAAATTTGCATTGTACAAATACCTTTTCACCCATTAAAATAAATAAATGGGATTTCCAAACAAATTTAATTAAAAAGAACTGACAAGGTCTTTTTTTTAATTTTTTAGTGGATTTTTCAAATTGTTGAGTATTGTGCTTGAAACTATGGGTATGGATAACATTGTTCCAAGTGCTTTTAGCCACTTCTTTAGCCATTTTCAAAGTGATTTGTTTTTAGATATTGTTCATTTCATTTCATGTTTGACTGTTTAAGATCTTTTGTGTGTATCTTTTTGTGTTGTTCTGAATACTGACAGGAGTGTTTATTTGGAGCTTTGCAAGTGATGTAATGGAATAACCAGTCACCCCCATGAATGATTACACTATAGTTAGTAAGTACCTATAAAGTCAACTTTCTACAAGAGACTCGAGGAAGAGTGAGAGGGAGATGATGCAAGCACGTCCGACCCTTTCAATTAGTGGCACTCACTACTAGATTGACCTGTGTGTATAATTTCATATTGTACTTGTTGTGTACAATAAACCTTTCTTCTAGTATCCACCTGGTGTTATGTGTTTATTCCCTTAGCATGGAATATAACAGCAAGTTAAGTATGGCTGGAATTTAAAGCTAAAGAAGTGGCCAAAAGTTCTTGGAACAATGGAGAATATGAACAATTTTGGGTACTTCCTTAACCCCACCAAACAGAAAAATGTTGGAAAAACTAAATAAAAAAAATGAATAAAATTTTTCTTGTCTGTCATATTCAATGAAACATGTTTGAAAGAAAGGTTGCTGCCCAAATAAATATATATATATATATATATATATATATATATACACACACACAAGTATGCAAATCAACTTTTAGGAAATCTGAAAATAGATTCAGGTGAAAAAAGTACATTTTAACTAGCCATTCATTGAACGATTAATACAAATATTAATTATGAGACCTAATTTACACTTTAATACTTCATTCTGGGATAGGAACGATTCATTTTTTAAAAATGCAAAGGAATGTGACTCTGTCTGAGCGGCTTTTCCACTTACCTTCACCCACATCAAAGTGGGTGCTGTCACTGTCATACCATCAGCTTGAGAATGTACACCACCTGAAGTCCTGAATAAGACAAAAACTAAAGTCATTTAATCTTTTGTCAAGATCTAAAGACATATTACAGCATATTGCCAGAAAACTTCATAGACAAAATCTAATATGTAAACAGATTTATAAGAAGAAATCAATAGTCTTATTTTAAAGCAGCTGCCATAAATGCTCTTATTAACAGAGCATTTATGGCCCAAACTGGCTTAGCCCAATAAAAATTTATTTGTCCCCATTTCACTTGAAATGATGCAAAAATTTGAATTTTTTGAATCAGTTTACTCAGATAATTAAAATCTTTATCTTCTGTATTTTGAAAAAAATTGACAAGAAATGATTTATAATTCAGAATTATTCATTTGCATAAAAATGTTGGCTTGATTACTATTTATCAGGTCTACAGCCCTGGGGGAAGACCATGACTTAAATAGAACACTTGACTAAATGGAATTGATAAACACACATACAGTGCTGATAGTTGCAGTGATGAAATATGAATTCAAAGTAAATCCATAAATAACAAATAATAGTTTAAATAAGATAACCTTGCCTGATATTGTGTGAGATCTGCCTTTAATAGGCAATTGCATTCAACATCATGACAATTAGATAATGTTTTTTTTATATGCTAATGTTTACCTAATACAAAGCTGAGAAGCCACTCAAGGTAGAAGGCTACTGTGTGGTTTTGTATAAGCATAAGAAGAGGCAAGAAGTGAAGTTCATGTGGTTATGTGGGAAAGGTAATGGTTAACCCTAGACTTGAGGAGGTCAAGAATGTAGTGATTGGGAAAACATCCCACTGGGAGTCTTATTCCACAAAGCAATAGTTCTTGGGAAAATGCTGTCCAAATGGAACCAACAATTCCCTTCATATTATTGGAATATGAAGGGAATTTACCCTTGTTATCTTTAAATACCCTTCAAATATCCTTCAGGACATAAACAATCATGACTCTCCACAGGTTCCTTTTTCTTTATTATTTGTATATTGGCATGAATTCTTGGGAAAGATAGTGGAAGAATGGATTCCATCTCCACAGTTTGGAGTTCACAGTTTTCCTTCTCTCAGATTGGTTGTCACCCAGGGCTAGTGAGCCCAGTCTACTCTGCCATTTAACTCATACTTTGCAGAAGAAATGGATTCATGCCTTTCCAAAGGTCATTAGTGGAAAGCTCTTCATATTTACATATATGATTCAAAATCTATCTTTAATGCGTGGAGTTAGTGTTAAAAAAAATATTAAATTTAAAAAATTTTTAAAGCTTCAATGTGGCTTTGGGGTCAGTATTTATATATTTTTTGTTTTTTTCAATGTCATGTCACTTCAGGATATAGGCTCTCCACAACTTCTTTTTCTTTTATTATCTGGGAATTGTTATAACTTCTTAAGAAAGATGGTGGAGTGGTATCCAGTTGTGTAGTTAGAAATTCAGAGTTTTCCTTCTCTTAGACTGACTGTCACCCAAAGCTAAAAGAGCTCAGTCTGTGCTACTATTTAACCCATATCTGGGGTGAGAAGAGACAGACTCATGTCTTTTCCTGGGGTATTAGTGTGAAAGTGAATTGAATAGACCAACCTGGAATTTGAACTCAGATTGCCATTTTCACTTTCTTCACAGATATCTGTTACACAACCCACATATCCTGTCTCTAACATTAAAAATCTTTTAACTTTCATATATCAAAATTTGGATAATTTTCTGAAAGGTACAAGTTATTTCATTGAGATTTTTTAAATAAAACTACATATGGAGATGTTAATAAAGCAACAAGATGATTTCTGATAAAAAAATTCATATTTATGTTAGAAATTCCAGAGGAAGGCAAGCAATGAGATTGTTTTTTTCTTTCTGTGATTTTGGCTCAGAAAATTCTAAAATAATAATCTTTGTTTTGACTTGCTTTTATTCATGGAAGAAATGTAGAACAAGGTATTGGCATACCTTTTGCTGCAATTTTATTTCCTCCATGCAAAGCAATTTAGGCTAAAAGATGTTAATAATGATTTTAAGATTAATTTTTCCTGCACACAAAAGAATAGCATAACAGTGGCAGATCTTACTTGAACTCAGGAACATCTGAATCAAAGCGAACTGATTCCTCTTTGACAATTTCCAACTTCTGGTTGATTGCAATGACTTTAAGCTGAAAGTAAAAATATGCCAACATGGATTTAATTTTGAAAACTGAAAAAAAAATTATTTACATATATTTTATTCATGTGTTTTACATATATATATATGTATATATATTATTTTGTATGTGTGGTACTTAATGGAAAGCACTTAATATGTGCATATGTATCTGTGCCTAGCCTCAGATGGTTTATATGGATGTGTTTATGTGAACTAAAATGCATACACCTGTATGTATGTGTCTATGCACATGTGAGTGTCACCCCACCAAACAAACACAGAAGTAGATTCACCCTCCTGTCACCAAACATAATCAAACAAGCATAAATAGAACCAATTTTAAAAACCGGTTTGTCTGATGATCACAAAAGCATGAAACCCTGGGTCACAAACTCATATCCATACAATTTATATATATCTGCGGTTGTTGAGCAAACACAAATGTGCCTGAGTTAGCCACCCTAGTAGATGGGTATCCTTGAATACGAGTGTCCAGATATATATAACTAACTCAAGCACATTTGTGTTTGTTCAACAACCACACACACACACACACATATATATATATATATATATGTATGTATGTGTGTGTGTGTGGTTATACTTACAAAGACTCTGTCACACTTCCTCTATAAATTTGGCAAAAGATAAATATATAATGTTTAAATAATTTAATTATATATATATATATATATATATACTATTACATATATATATATATATATAATACATCGTATATATATATATATATATATATATGCACATGGCACAGTGGATAAAGGCGTTGGTTAGATCCAGTGACAGGACCCAAACGTGGAGAACTTTCAGAGGGGAAATTAACAGGTGATAACTGACATCCATTAAACATGGCATGTGGAACTAAACAGTCTACCCCAGTGAGTGAAATAAAGGGTTAAGTTCAACATTCCAATCACCTGAAGAAGGTCGGAGTATACAATGGCCAAAACGTTGTAATAAATATGGTGACAAAGATGAGAACAATAGTCCGAATAACATATAGATAGATAGATAGATAGATAGATAGGGATATATTGAGTCATTCAAGGCTAAAATAATGCACAAAAAATTTTGGAACTCAGTTGGGTTGTGTTACCCTCCTCACCATATTCCCTTACCTTGCGCCAACAGATTATCACATTTTTCGGTCACAGCAAAATGCTTAGATGGTGAAAACTTTCTCTAAACAAAACCAGATTCAAGAGTTCATCAAAAACATTTTCACAGCAAAACATACAGAATTTTACCCAAAATGTATCAAAAAGCTTCCTGATTAATGGCAACAAGTTATTGTAAATAATGGTGACTATAATTGAATAAAATGTAATTGTACTTTATTTTTGGAAAAATGAAGTTGACAAGCAAAAACAAATATTATTGATATCTCAACCTCATACAGGATGCAATGGATAAATTGCCGTCTAAATTGTGCATAAGTGAAACCTTATACAGGATTCAATGGATAAATTGTTGTCTAAATTATGCAAAACTGAAAATAACACTAACATCTCATTTTAATAAATATATTTACCAAAATAACACAAAAATATCTTGAAATATTAAAGAGTATATTTATTGAATAAACTTGCCATTGGCTTCAACCATGACCTCCAGAATCTTCAGAATCTCCTGCATCTTTTCTCCTTGGTTGGTGAATGCAGCCATAATCCTTGCCTTCAGTTCATCTTTGGTGTTACAAAGTTTTTCTGGTCTCTCACTCAACTGTGCCCCACACATAATAATCAAGGGGGTTGCAGTCTGGGGAGTTAATTAGATGCTGGCTTGAAAATTTATCTCAGTTGCCATGGTAAAAACATTTTATCCAGGCTTAACACTGAATTTTTGGGTTGCATTTGTTTATTTGGTGTCAAAACAAATGCAAGTCTAGGAAGCCATTTGAGAAGTGATGAAAGAGCCAACCAATGGTTAATTTAATATAATGTTTATGCTCAAAATTGAGTAGATAGCCATCATACATACAATGCCATGCATAATTATTCACCCACATTTTCTATTATTACCAAATGAAATGCAAATTGACAAATGAACTTTTTGCTACAATCAAAAATGTGCTTTGAAGGTGTAAAATATATTCTTTTATGACATAAACAATAATTAGAACAATGAAGCCATCATCTTTTGAATACATAAGTATTCACCAACACCTTAATACTTTTTAGAAGCACCTCCATTTACACCAGTTACTCTTTTGGGGTATGTCTCTATACCAACTTTGCACATCTAGAGGCTGGAATTTTTACCCAATCATTGTTACAAAATAGCTGAAGCTTGGTCAGATTAGATGGAAACGGTTTGTAAACACTAATTTTCTAAGACTTGCCACAGATTCTCAATTAAATTTTTCTCTGAGCTTTGACTTGGCCATTCCAATTCATTAATATGCTCTGATCTAAACCATTCCATTGTAGCTTTGGCTGTATGTTTAGGTTTTTGTCCTTGATATGTCCTGGAAAGGGATATATTTGTTCGAAGTAGCAAAGTGGTTTGGGACTACTGTAACCGAGTAGGACAATATAGCAGGTAACCGTAATGGACTGGTCCTCGTCGTAGTGGGAGGCAATAGGCATAGGCGTAGCCAATAGGCGTAGCCAATAGGCGTAGCCAATAGGCGTCCTTGTACCTCCACATCAGTCTGTATTTATGACTGACACCAGCTAATCATATTACTGTGAGGGGGAACCCAGGTGTATGCATATTCATTATATGAGTCCTGCTGGAAGGTGAACCTCTGCATCAGTCTAAAGTCTTTTACAGACTGTAACAGTTTTTCTTTGAGGTTTGTCCTGTATTTGTCTTCATCTATCTTCCCATCAACTCTGACCAGCTTTCCTGTCCCCACTGAAGAAAAGCATCACTGGAGAGATGGTGTGCTCAGGGTGATGTCCAGTGTTGGGTTTCTACCACATGTAGCATTTTGCATGAAGGTCCAAAAAGTTCCATTTTAGTCTCATCTAAATCATTTTATATACAACACTGAAGTATACAAGTATAAGTAATTACTAAGATACAGTGCTTTGCATAAGTATTTATCCATTCACCCTGACCTCTTGAATATTTCCACATTGTCATGTTACCAAATGGAATTCAACTTGACTTAAATGGTATTTTTACCGTTTGATAAACACAAAATGCACAATGCTTTGAAGATGCAAATAGATTTTATTGTGACACAAACAATAATTTTGAAAAAAAGTCATCTCTTGGATCAAAATATCACCCCACCCCCGAGTAAATACTTTGCAGAACCATATTTTGCTGCAATTACAACTGCAAGAGTTTGGGGTTATGCCTCTACCAGATTTGCACATCTGGAGAATTAAATTTTTGTCCAGTCTTCTTAGCAAAATAGCTTAAGCAGTCAGACTGGATGGAGGAGACCATCTGTGAACACGAATTTTCAAATCTTGTTACAGATTCTCAATTGGATTTAGGTCTGAGCTCTGATCTAAACCATTCCATTGTAGCTCTGGCTGTATGTTTAGGGTTTTTATCCTGCTGGAAGCTGAACCTCTATACCTCAGTCTCAAGTCTTTTGCAGACTGTAACACATTTTCTTCAAGGATTGCCCCATATTTAGTTCCAGCCATCTTCTCATCAACTCTGACCAGCTTCTCCATCTCGTGTTTCCTGTCTAGAATTTGGTTTCTGGTTCATTCTAAAGTCTACTTCAACTCTGTACTTCTAATATCTCTGCCTGAACTCTGAAAGATTATTTACTAATTATTTATTTTTTTTCCTCAATAGGAGTAAATAGGTTCATCTATCATCCGGTTCAAACTCCTCCCCTGCCTTTTAAACAGGAGTACAAGTTTATCCCTTGTTCCATGTTTAGGATTGGATTTCTGGTTCTTTCTAAAGTTTTTCATTCTCTTTCACTCCTATTAGCCCCTTTCGACTTGGTAGCATTATCACCTTGCTTGGTGGCGAATGGATTTTAAAACAGTAAATTCCTCCGCATTTTAAATGTTAAAATTTATCCCTTTTGAAAATGATACATTCAATTTTTTTGATAGTTCTCAACCTTGTCTATTGCAACTTGTAACATCACATTCTACAATAGTATAATCATTAATGTTTATTTTTTTGATTTTGGAAGTATAAAGGCACATATAGGTCATAGGAAAGATAAAATATAAGATATTGTAACTGAGTGATGGGAACACGGCTTTGGGAAGTGGCAAAAATTTAGTTAACAGAACAATCAAAAAAGAAATTGGTAAGAGAGAGAAAAAAACTGACTTTAAGATTATCAAAAAAATAATTTTGGGAAAATTAAAAGAGTAATAAGCAAGAAGAGTAAAGCCACAAACTATTTGAAAAAATTGTTGTAAACAAAGAGAAAAGATACAGAAGAACATTTCTTAAAGCTATTGCAGCAACCAAATATCCATCTAAACAAAATAGATGATAACTGGTTTCTCAACAGCAATTTTTAATGATGAATGTAGAGCTATATTGTATGGTCCTAATTACTGGGCTAGAGATCGGGTCCTACACAGAAAAAGCAAATCAATACAATTTAGAAAATAACAAGCACTTGTAGCATAGATAGTAAAATTATAAGCCCTTTCAAAGTTGATGACAGTGTCAAGATAACTATAGACAAAGTTAAGATAGACAAGATATTTTTTAAATGGTACATGTCATAACCAAGAAACTTTAAGCTAAATAGTGTATTCATGAAAGACAATTCTTAACAGTCTTAAAATTTAACTATTGTCAACCTTACCAAAAAACGGTTTTTAAGACCAAATAAAGTTCTCAGTTAATTTGCATAAATAAGCACCAAAACCCCTTGATAATGAAAATGTTCCATCATGGTGTGAAATAGCCTGATTATTTTGAAAATGACAATGAAAGTTTGCACTCAATTACCGTTTAGGATTTATCAATAATGTAAGTTTGATTTCTTTTGCATTGTCCGGCCGCCATTTCTAGCATTGTTTACATACGTTTGAGTAGAGTAGTAATGTAAGGAAGTTTACTTAGTTAACAGCCTTTTTACTGCTTTTTGTATATTCTTACTCATCTTGATTACTGTGCAATTTTTGTTAAAGTTATTTTAAAATATGCTTTCTTTTTTTTTAAATGAAGCTTTAAATGAATAGTTTTTTTAATTGATATATATTCCATTTTCCAATTAAAAGTATTGTTTCTTTATAGGCGTGAAGGTTTTATTAAATAATGAATTCTTTTTTTTTATTAAATTGTCAGATATTAAGGAAACTTTCACGACACAATTTAAAAAAAACATTGTTGAAAAAAAAAAGGAAAACTTCGTTTCTTTTATTCTTTCAGGCACATAATTTTGATTTTACTTTTTCATTTTTACTTCTATATTTGGAATCGCACATTCATTTTAAACTTTGTGCATTGCACAGTCATCAAGACAAGTGAAACTTCCACACATTACTACTCGAGGTAAACAAAGCCAGTAATGGCAGCTGTCCTGTTGACACAACACAAAAGAAGTCAAACTTACATTGTCCATAACTCCTAAATGGTAATAGAGCACCAACTTTTAATGTCATTTTTGAAATAATCAATTTCACACCATAATGGGACATTTTCATTACTGTGGGCTTTTGTTGCTTAAACTGCAAATTGACCCAATTCTCTACCCACTAATCTCTCTAGATTTTATTCCAATAAAAAAAAATTGTTCATTATGAAAAAGAGGTGTATATAAGAACAGAAAACAATATTCAATAAGATCTCTGGGGAGCAATAAAAACTGCCACAAACAAATTTGAATCAGTAGAAAAATTAATAAAATCAATACATGGTATACTGATAAAGATAATAAAAGGTCAAGGAGGAGCCTGTATTAATATCTAAAATAATTAAAAATAATTTTATTGTCAAACCATTGACTTACACAATAAAATCTGACAGTTTATCATATACATATGTGCATACACAAATAAAAATAAACCAACTAAAACATTATGACCAGCAACATGCCAAGAATGACAGCTACTGTCTCATAATAACTGTACATGCCATAACAACAAGAAAAAAG